GCAGATTACAACACCTTCGATCTAGTGTATCACCTGAGCCCCATGCGGGTCAACTACCTTTAGTCGCTGCCGCCACCGCAGCACCCCTCGCTAGACCTCGACAGCGAGGCCGACCGGGGCACGGGGGCGGGGGGGGGGCAGCCCACCGGCGAAGCCCTCCTCTTGGAGCGCCTAGGAAAGTCCGTGTGGGCAAAGGAGGAAGCGCTCGCGGCCGAGGCACTTGCTGCCGCCGCCTCCGCCACCGCCGCCGCCAGCAGCGTGTCGGGCCCGGTGGACGTCGTCGACGGCAGTAGTGGTGCCGGCGACAAAGCAAATAACACGGGGGTCGCCGGCGCCGCCGGCGCTGAGCTGTCGTCGGAAGACGCCTCGGTCTTCGACGAAACTTCTGCGGTTGGCGCGGCCGCGGCGGCGGAAATAGGGGTCCGAGCCGCGGAAAGGGCGCTGGCCCGGGCGGCGCTGAAGATGGGCGCCTCCGCTGCCTCCGGCGGCCTCGACTGGGGAGACCTCGACATCGGGTACCGAGATAGCACCGAGTGGGAGGAGATGGAGGACGAGAGGCTGTCTGATGAGGCCGCTGCGGCAGCCTTGGCGGCGTGGAGCGAGGAGGAGGAGGAGGAAGGCGAGGGATCGTTGCGGGAGAAAGAGCTGCGCTGGGGGGAGGGGGAGGTAGGGGAGTGGGACGGAGAGGCGGACGAGGCCGCGGAGATGGCCGCGCTGGCGGTTACCCTCCGGCAGTACCCCGAGTGAGTTGAAGGTGGTTGAATCATTGCTCTCTTGTGCCATGTCACTGCTTGCTGGTGTTGCTCGCACCCGTCATCAGTACTGCACTGCTCGTGGCGTTGTTGTTCGCTTGTAAGGTGCTGCTGGCAATTTCGTCCGCGAATTTCTTTCGAAACGATGTTTGAAGGTGCGTGGGTAGTTTGTGGGCGTTCGCTGTCTCTTTCTTCCACACGAACCGCTGGCAAGATTCATGCACGATGCATGGGATGCTGAAAGGCTATGTGCTTTCAGTGGAGACCTGATTTGTGGTAGAAGTGATGATGGTGGCGATCAATCTGCGCGGCATGAAGCGACCGGGAATCGATAGAAACGGTCGTCTCATGTGTTCCGCTCTATGTGGCCAGCCCCATCCTTTCGTCCCGGAACGGTTCCGCAGACCTGTTACAATACACACGAAGACTTGGTTTGAGTATGAGTTCCACCTGGTTGAAACCCGCGATAGCTTTTCGTCTTTCCAATGGAAAGCAATCCCGTTACCGTTCGTTCAGTCACCTTCATATTTACCGAGCCCCCTCCACACCAATCGACCGTCGTCCCCCCTTTCCGCTTGTCAGTGCGTGGGAGGCGTTTGTTGATCTGCACGACGGAGTGGGGTTTAGACTGTGTGGCACGTGGGACAGAGAACCTCCGCGAAGCGCTGTGAAGACGGTCGTCATGGACCACATCCTACGCATCATCATGGACTAAATAGAAAGCAATTGAATGTGCATAGAGGAGCGTAGGATAGTGCTCCCGAGGCACCACTATTAGAGGCAGGGATGGTTTCTGCACATTATGTTGCGCAGTCAGGCGTTTTGCTCGAATGTTTACCGAGCCAGTTTTGACTCCGGGAGGTCTTGAAGAAAGACAGTCCCAATTTGCTAGAAGCTCCGCAGATGACAGCCCACGCCTTCATGGTGGTGAAATGTGCTGGCAACGTCTCCACATTTTTCTGCGCATGGGTGGGAAGGGGGTGACATGATCGACAATTTTTTCGAGATTGCAGTTGGTCGCAGCCAACCCCGTGAGGGTGTTCATGGCTGGGTGCGGAGGGTACGTACTTTCTGTCGCGGATATTGGAATGCTTGAGCACGTTTTTTTGTTGCCTCTCTTTGTAGTGAGTGCGGAGCTGATCGTGTGGGGAACGGTATTTTGGGCGGTAAGAATTCAGAGCAGACCGGTAAGGCGGGCTAGCGGCTGCACTCCTAGTTTTCGTTGTCCCTTGTTGATGTGAATCAATCCCACAAAAATATGTTGTGGATGTGCATGCTTTCGAGTTATGTGCGAACCTCATCGCGTATGGTTGCTGCAGTGGTGCCGTTTCAGCATCACAGTGTGTGCTTGTGGTCGCAGGTTAGATCTTTCACATAGAATTTCGTGAAAACACCCGCAGCAGTTTGCTTGTGAGAGCTACGTTCATGGATCAGATTCAGACCAGTGGGCCAGCGAAGAAACTTACAACAATAAAGTCATAGTAGAAGCAAACATTCAAAACGTGTAACGCACCCAGAGCAGACTGCGGTAAGACTAGTACGATGCATTGGTCAACAGTTTTGGAACATATGCGTACATGATGAAGCGTGTACCGTAGAGGAGGCCTACAACACATACATACATGCCGTAAATTACGGAGTTGCCCCCCCCCAGTACAGATTCCCCCCCCCCCATTACCTTTTCGGCCTGGAAGCATGGTTTCGTTGATTTAGCCCCGGGGTAGATTGTTTTCGACAAAAAAAAAAATCCCCCCGGGTATTTCAATTCCCCCCCGGGGTACCAGCTTCCCACGATTTCCCCCCGGGGGGGATGTATTTCCCTTTTTTTCTGAGTCGATTTTGTTGCATCGCGGAGCACAAAAACCATGATATGGGACGGAAAATTAATTTGCAGATCTGCGCTTCGAGCGAGATTTAGGTGTACCTTTTGTCACTTGGCCCTCGCAGTTGTTTTATGGGTGAAATGCTCTCGTTTTCCTGTCTATTTCTTGCATTTGTCATCCCTGGAGTCAGCTGAAACGTACCACAGCATTCTGACGAAACCTTGCGCATAAAGGGAACAAATAATCGTATTCATTTTTGGATCTCACAACTCAAGGTAGAACCGAACCATAAAAATAGCTTATTCCTGCGGACAAACTGCGAATTCTTGTGCATGAGCTGAGGCCATATGGTACCTCTTTTGCGACCCGACAAAAACCTTATCCATCTCTGTTTCGCCACTCTCTGTGTGTGTGTGGTGTGTGGACCATCATTATTTTGCACAACCCCCCGGGGGGGGACTTCCCCACGGGGTAGCGTTGGAAAAAAAAAACGATCCTCCCCGGGGGGGGGGGACTCCGTAGTTTACGGTATGCCTTTTCGTTGTGACGCAGGACCCGACGTCTTCTTCACGGTAGTTGAGAAGGTAGGGGGGGTAGGGGATAGACACGTGGAGACTGCGGGTGACGGCATTTCAGGCTGCTGTAGACTCATAACTGCGTGTATGTCACTCGCTACTACATACAGCAACACCTGTACCAATTCACAGCACGGCTACACAGCACGGCAACGTGTAGATACTCCACTCAATTGATACATACATGCGTGTCACACCCCACGATTAAGTAAAACTGCCCACAGTATACCGCAGTGCGATGGAAAAGAGATGTACAAAGCACGCGAGGAGGAGCAGGAACACCGACAGACAGATGACAGATAGAAGTCGTCGACGTCGACCCTCACCGCTCACCGCACCGAACGTCCCGAACAGGCACTTGAACCTCTACAAGTATTGATTTTGATTCGGCAGGCAGATTCGCCGCAACACAGAGCTTTCCAAGGGCCGTTCCTAAGCTTGTTCTTCTGCGCACCTGCCGGATTGAAGCAACTGGATTGAAGCACCATCCCGGTGACACACAAACAGGCGAGCAGCGGCAGCTAGAGCGTGTAGAGCTCATTTCTCATCATCTTCTGTCGAGATATATCACTGTAGAGGGAGCGGTGGGTTGTGTGTCGAATTGGGACCACGAGCGGAGAAATCAACTGCTGTGAAAAAAATATGTCGAGCAAAGAGACAAACAACACCACGAACAGCCTGGACCGTGTCTTGGGCACCTTGGTTGGATTAGCCTGTGGCGACGCTGTAGGCACGACCTCCGAGTTTCAGCGGAGAGGGATGTTTCCAGAGGTCTGCGGGATGGTGGGTGGCGGGGTTTTTCGACTGAAGCCAGGACAGTGGACGGACGACACCTCTATGGCACTGTGCATGGCGCAATCGCTCATCGAGCGATTGGGACATGATCCTCGAGACCAGCTCGAGAGGTACCTCGGGTGGCACGAGAAGGGCAGGCTGTCATCCAACGGTGCCTGTTTCGACATTGGTAACACGACCATCGGTGGCATCGACAGGTTTAGGTGCGTGTGGACAAAATAATGAAGAAAACAGGGTGTTGACAGGCTTTCCCTATTATGCCCGTGCTGCCCCCCACCCTTCCCCCATGCGGTGCCCTGGCCCTTATTATGCCGCCCATCATCCCCATCATGCCGACCTATGCTCCCCCCCACCCGAAAACCACAGGGCTTCCGGAAACACCAGGAACTTCTGCGGCAGCACCGATCCGATGGAGGCGGGCAACGGCTCTCTGATGCGCCTCGCACCGGCGCCGATGCTTTTACGCCTCCACCCTCAGCTTGCGGTGACGGTCGCGGGAGAGACCTCGCGAACAACTCACGCAGCTAGGACCGCTGTAGACTCGTGCCGTTACTACGCTGGCCTGGTAAGATCGTAGACAAGTTTTACAGAATACGTACACATTTCACAAGTACAGCTGCTCCCGACCCCCTTAGCACCCCCTTGGCACGCACAGAAAATTCGGTGTGTTTTCGCGAAAATTCTGAAATGCAAGGAAAGAGAGACGGTTACAGATTTGGATGACGATGCGTCCTCACCTGAGCTATCTCTAAAATCCTTATCAAATGGCCCCGCGATAGTCGAGGGGCCTTTCGACGAGCCATCCATTTGGTAGGGAATGGATATAGACAGCAATTACCGAGAGCGTGGTAAACGGGGCACGAAAAAAGGAGCTTTTCAAGATTTTTCTCTAGAGCGCGTTGTTGTTGGAGCGCGAGACCTTCTATATGGAACCCAACCCTAACAAGTCCCAGTGTCTCCTTTCATCGGAGAGCGATCTTCAACGCTTGCCCCTACAACAGTAGGACTTTCCACCAAGGACAGATAGACGCGGCGAAATCACTGTTGAAGCTGCGGCATCGTCCTGCGATTTTTCTTGTCTAGCATCCGCACCACACTTACAGTTCTCTGTTAGTATACCCTTGTGTGTGTTGAAGATGATGGTATCACTTGTATTTAGGACAGCAGACACGACCAGGACGCGGCGGGAGAGAGAGAGTGCCACGACACAGCAAACACTCCCGCAGGGCCGAGCCCCGTGGATCAACCATGAAACAAACCCAGGGGACTATCAATCCCTATCTGGATAGCCACTTCCTCCTACAGTCCCGTTGGAATCTTCTCATCCGCTCATGCACACACGAACATTCTCCCCGCGTACCCGGCACCCCCCTTGCCGAAGAGTTCAAAGGAGGAGGCATGCTTCGCGAGGTGAAACAAGTGAAGAAGATGGCCGCAGACATTGATCTACATCGCCCTAAGACCCCGTTTTTACGTTTTTTTTGTCACCCAAATATAGGCCCTGAAAATCGTAAGTTTCTGGGGGGAGCCGGTGATTGGTCAAAAGGACAAAGTAGGATGCGGCTTTCGCTGCCTGGAAAAGCGTGACTTTGGTATTGTGTGCCGAAGAACACAATGGCAAGTATTGTTGCTTTTTACGCTCAATCGAAGTACCCGAGGTGGACTGCACCCCTTTTGCACCCCCCCATGATGAGCTGACCTCATGTTGGCGATACCCCTGACTGGACCGCATGTGGCACACTGGCCGTGCGGCACCCACACGCATCGCTCACTGCCCGCTGCTGGGAAATGAGTGTGTTTCAATGATTCTGTGAGCGTGTCCAATATTCGCGCTTGTGGGTTGCTATGGGGGTTGCTTCCCAAAATGTGCGATGTCGAATACCAATGGCCGGTTGTGTGCAGCGAGACAGCCCAAAAACATTTTGTAGAGCAAGCCTCAGGATGAGGCTGGGACCACTGGCACCACCTGCTGATACTTGGCTTTGTGTGTGTGCTAATATGTTTGGACAGCTCCCGTGTGGTGCACATGGTCTATCGTTCGAAACGTGTGGACCCCACGTCACCCCGTGGCAGCGATTCGTCCGAATTCGGGTGTTGAGAACCTCGATTGGCATTTGGGTGCGGCAGACTCACGTTAACACGACTCAAGCCCTTTCTGGTAAAAAAACAAAATTAGGCCCATCCAAATTGGGTGTTCACTTTAGGTGCAACTTTTAACATTCAACAGGCCCTGAAGGGATTACAAAACATGACATTGAGGCATTTATGTGGTCGGGCTCCGTGATGCTTGTAAGCAATAGTGCTACTGAAGAACACAGATCAGATCAAACCGAAAGACCCACCACTCTCTTGGAAAATCAAGTGGTTCCGTTACCAGCGTTATAAGTGATTCGGCTGGGAACAACATGCTAAATCTCGATGCGCCTGTGTGTGTCGTGTGTGCTTGACAAGTTAGCTGGTTGGTGCAATGAATGGGGCTCCGAAGGAGAAACTTTTGGCGATGGGCGGGTTCGTGCCGACCGGCTTACCGGACGATTTCTGGTCGGCCATGGAGCCACCTCTTGACCCTGAGGTGGCGGAGGTTGTGCTGGGGGCGTCGCACGCTGAGCGGGAACCTTCCACCAAGGTAAGTCGGTAAAAAACTTGGCCGCCCTGATTACTACTACTGTTGCCATTGTTGACAAAGCTCAACATTGTCGTTTGGATATTGTACTGGAATGCAGCTTGCTCTTAAGTATAGTTCGTCTAAACCGCGTGAAACACGCGCGAGAAAGTTCGAGTTGTATCCGATCTATCTGTAAACAGTGCCAATCCCCCACCTCGAGACACCCGGGAAGTGTGGATGTGCACGGCACACCCGAGTGGGACACAGCACAACCTGTAAATTCGAAAAATTCAAGAATAAATGTGTCACTGGTCGTGACCCCCCGCAACCCGCCGGACGCCGAATGCCGCGAGCAGGAGATGCCGACAAGGCAAGGCACTATCCGCAACGACGGGTACGTCGTGCGGACACTCGAGGCGGCCTTATGGGCGTTCGGCAGATCCACGAGCTTCGAAGAAGGCTGTCTGCTCATTGCCAATCTTGGAGACGACGCGGATACGGTCGCCGCTATCTACGGACAGGTATGGCCGATACTTGGTTTGACAAGAGTAACGAGAGAAACCAGCCTACAGATGCGAAGGCGACGTGCGAGCGTAGGTGGTGCCTACGTTACACAAGCACCTTTGCGCTGGATTGATCGCGTCCTTCGATGTTGCTTCTCTTGAGCCGTTGCGCAATGTCCGAACATTGCGGGCCGTTGTGGCCACCACAAATTGTCAAAAAAACAATCGCGAGTTGTGAAACCCCGCGTGTGAAGTGGCTCGTGTTGGCTTGCTCGACACTCGAACGTTTTCGAAGGACCCTTTTTTCAATTCTTATGGAGGCGATAATACTAAGACTTAAACGACAGAGTGCGACGTTGCTGCTGTCGTCAACATCTCGCCTGAACCCATTTGATGTCGATGGACGTGTGTCCACGATCGCGGCGAAACAACAGCTTGCGGGCGCGTTCTACGGTTACAGCGGCATCCCCGCCGAGTGGCGGAACAAAATCGCGCTGAAGGGCTTGATCGAAGCCATGGCGGAGGAGCTCTTCGACATGTCCAACCGGATCGACTCATGCCCACACCTTGCCACCCCGGCGTCCACAATACCGTCTACTAGCGACACAACTGATGCCGTCGCCGGCGGTGCTACCCATGCCATGCCCACCACGGAGCCCCCGGAGCAAAGAGTGACTCGTTTCGTGGTAAAACCTGCTGCGGACGAGGCCGGTGGTGGTTTTCAACAGGGTGCCCATCAGGGTGCTGGTGGCGGTGTTGACGGCAACGAAGAAAGAGCCGGTGGCGCGTTCTGGGGAGGGGGAGTAGCGGCCCACTACCAGCGGCTCGAGGATGCCTACGTGTGAGTGCTTGTGCGCATTGCAGCAGAGCGTGAAGTGCAGCACGAACGAAACATTGGTTGTGGCCTATTCTGCCACTCCAAGCACCACATCGTGTTTCGCCTTTCGCGTGTCTTCTGCACGGGCATTGCCTAACGACGGGGGCGAGGAGCGTGTTCGAACTCGCGTTGGTTACGATCGGATAAGGCTCTGAGTTTCGGCAACGCGGCCATAATTTGTCCATTTGATCTATGCGGAGTCTTCACCCTCCCCTATCATCCCGTTCTGCGTCTGGTCGTGTCGGTGTACTCCAACTTTTGTTCCATCTGCGTGACAACCCTGCAGAGCAATCAAGGCGAAGATCAGGGCGCGCTCGTACCACACGATCGAAGCCTTCGAACAGGACGTGAGTGCCATGATCCTGACTCGGCAACCTACCCATGAACCCGACGCCAACACGAGTGAAGATGCTGGCGGAGCGTCGAAAACGGCGAAACACGACGATGATAATCCAGAGTCGCGCGAGGCGAGCACCGGGAAGCGGACGTTGGGGGCTGAGGAAACGGTGGAGAAGGCAAAGGACGCGCTGACGGAAGAGTTCGCCGCCCGTGCGGCGATAGACAAAGTCAACGTTAGGATGATGCTCCAGTAATTGACTCTCTGTGCTGTGTAGGAAGCTGCGATTGTGCCGCATTGTGGGTCTGCGTGGAGAGAGGGCTGTGAAAGGAGGAGGTAGGCTGGGTTCATGCAACTCCAGATAACATGGAGAACGCTTACGGGAGAAATGCCTGGTTACTCTCGCAAGGGCTGTAGCGTTTATCTGTAGATGCTTTGGTCCCCTTGTTGTATCGTGAGTCGAAATGGCCAGTCGCTGCAACCACCACGTGGTATGTTCCTTTGTTGGCACATTGTAGGCGTCTAGGATCAACGTTGGTGACACTAAACACTCACATCTCCGGTTTCGCGAAGACACGGGGCTGTGGAGGCCTGCCACAGCAATCAGATGTAAGGGAGCCATGCAAAATCCACTCCCTTTCGAAAGTGTCTCACGGCCAGCGTGCATACCCAAATACACCCGCATAGACTCCTCGCCGGGCGGGAGTCCCACGCCCTTTGAAATCCTAGCGAGGCACACAACCATGACGTGGCCAAAGAACACCTGCTATGATTGTTTGGGGTGGTCGGCCCTCGATACGGATCGCCCGCTTCGAGTTACGGAGAGCTAGTTGGATTTCCGCGTGGTCAAGGACTGGAACGACCTTACTCTTCATGTCGTCTGCGCCAGGCGTGTCTGGAAGCTGATGGTCGACGATATGCTTGGTGCAGAAGGGAAGCTCTCCCATAACTTGACGAGACACGCTACGTAGATCTAGGTGGTTTCGTATTGCCAATCAATGTGGTGGCATCGGAGTTGTATCCGCTATGAGTTGGGAAAAAATGTGATTGGCACCAGGGATCGGTTGGCACTGTCTTCCTGAGGCAAAATCCTTGCCGATTTTCAAACGACGTTCAAGTTTCAACTTTCGTGACGATGTTGTTGGTTTTAGCTGAAGGAAGTATTTTTCCAGCAACCTACACGGCAGGTCAGGTAACACCTGAGGAAGAAACCCTTGCAAGAGTGAAATTTCCACATCTCAGCAACACGAGGGTCGTGAAACACGATAAGGTCCAAGATTGTCTCCCACATGTAGCGTGCGAAGCAGCGAGCGATAAATTCTTTTTGATATGTTTCAATCGATCGGCTTGCGCCTTAAAAAACAACCCAACAGCTTGGACTACGCAAGGCGGCGCAGTGAAAGGTGGTACAATGTGCACTATCTCCGGTTCGGCAAAGGCAATATCAAAGCACACAACGCATACCACACGTTGAACCTTTCATGATTATCGCGGTAGAGAGAGCGATGTGTCGGCTCCCTCTCCGTCATCGCACTTTCGTGTACTTGTGACGTTTGCTAGGTTCAACAGGGGTTGGTTCTGTTCCGCTTTGCTCCGAGGGCGAAAATAATGTTGTGAATATGCGTATTTGTACCAACACCGCCAACCAGGCCTGTTTCACCCCCATCTTGAATGAAAACACGCACACAGATAGAGGAAAGAGAGAGCGTGCATTGGGTTCGAGCCGAAATTGATGGTTATCGTAAGAGTCGGAGAGATGGCGCCCCCGTGTTAGCGTTTTCGATTAGCCTATTTCTCCACAAGTAGGAGGGTGCGAACAACAACCGATACCTCTCAGGAAAGCCCTCGACGAGATGTTTCCAAAACTACCCTTTTCGCCACTGGTACCCCCCTGATTGTTGTGAAATACGCTACAAGAAAACGCTAACACGGGGGTGCCATCTCTGCGACTCTTAAGCTATATCTTGGAACATTCCAGGATGCTTGTTCTTCCAGGTATGTATGTTTTTCTCTCCTTTTTCGCCGCCCTTTGGTGACAACTTTCAGACCGAACTTCACAGCTCGATTGCTCCACGACCGAGAGGGTGCGAACGTTGGCCGATACGAGCAAAGAAAGGGTTCAAAAAGACCGTTCCACCTCCATCCCCCTTTCGGCATGGATATCCCTATCGGTTCTGAAGCAATCAATCGATCTGTGAATGCGGTCTATTTGTAGGGTATAGTAGGGTGTCGCTTTTTACGCTAGCTAGTGTTGCTTGTCTCGTTCTCATCGTACGGTTACATGCGGTTTTCCTGATGAACATCGCTCAGGAGGATGATCCAGCGGACGCCCCTATGTCTGAGGAGTCTATCCTGCCAACCAACTGCTGCATCCAAGATGGGGGTTCATTCTGTTGTCGCCGGTTCTGTGGTGCCGTATCCCAGGCGGAACCGTACTACACACATCCTGGAGACGTGAAAGGGAGTCTAGAGTACATACACACCAGTGCAATGAAACAACATTTGAATCTACTTCATTTCCTAGGGCATTCTTCGCCCTACCCCGAGTCCATTTTCCGTTAGCTGACTGACTGGCTGAGCAGCGAATAGGACGATTGTTTACCTTGTGACCACAATATCGAACGTTGACCGGCGAAATTCTCTAGCACCACATTCTTCCTCTTCCACAGGTACATGGATAAGAGTTCGCGGTAGATTACCAATGGGCTTAACGTGTTGTACGGTGATCTATATTTTTTCGGTTGTTCCCGAGCAGCTCTGGTACAATTTTTGGTTTCCATCCGCCGTCGGGTCGTGATCTGTCAATGCTGTAAACTCCGCCAGCAGCTAATTATACCCGCAAACAAGCAAATCAGCTTCAGACAAGGCAACACCGACGATACTCGTCGCGTTGATTTATCACATTCAGAATCCATCTTTTGAAATTGTGGGGCACTACGTGCTTCATGCGATGCATGCAGTAGAACCCTCGAACTCGTTGGGGCGCGAAAAAATCGTCCTGTCATGTGCTGTCCGTGTCGGATTTGAATTCCACTCTTTTTGGAAGTTGATCAAGTCTAGGATCTCGGCGGGGCTCTCGTCTGTAGTTAGTTGCGGAACGTGTTTGAATGGATCTCGTCATGGCGCCAACATGTCAATTCATATTTTGCTTTCGTGTAGTCGACCGAGTGGTCCCGATACATCGCGGTCCCGGTTAACGCGGGTACCGCGGTAATATGTCCTTGGCACAACTCTCAACTTTCGTTTCAGGGACCAAGCCCCCAAGCGCGGGTCCCGATGTACTGCGGTTGTTGACGTTCGTCACTGCAATTGTAATACACGGCGTTTTCCCGACGCCAGCTGGCGATTTTGTGTGGAGGAAATGAAATACTCCTCGGGTTCAGACACAATGACCCCACCTCACGGAATACGTACGGAATACGTTCGTTTCAACCCGCATCTTCATATTGTGGTAAGGGATGAGGATTTTGGAACGTGCCCGGTTCGCACGTATTTTCGCCTTCACAAGGAGTTGAAGACGTCCGTGATAGATTTTTCATCTCGGACGTACATTCTCGACGAGTCAAACGAGAACAAGACCGAATTTCACAGCTCGATTGCTCCACGACCGAGAGGGTGCAAATACCGGCCGAATCGTGCAAAGAAGGGCTCCAAACGGCCGTTCAACCTCCACCCCCCTTTCGGCTTTAGCATCTCTATCGGTTCTGAAGCAATCCATCTGTGAAGATTGGTGTGTCGTTTTTCTACGCGAATGATGCTCGTCTCGTTCTCATTCGACGCGATGACAGGTTTGCTGGCGAACAAAGCTTGAGCAATTACATGCCGTGATCATCTTTGCCTTGTTTCATTGTATTGGTGAGTATGTATGTACTCTCGACTCTTTCCCACAACTCCATGTGTAGTCCGCGTTTGCCTGGGATACACCACCACACCGACCGGTAACAACAGAATGAATCCCTAAATTGGATGAAGTACAGTTGGTTGGCACGAGAGCTGCTTGAGGCTAATTAGCATCTGTCGGGTCATCCTTCTGAATGCGGCTCGAGAATGTTTGAATGCTGTATTTTTTTTCACATTATTCGCTCTGACTCGCGCAATTTTTTCAGTTGGCTCAGAAATTCCTCTTCCTTTGGATATTGTTTGTTTTTTTTGTCCTTTTTATGTCCTCCCATGTTTCGTGTAGATCATGAAGAGCATCACTTTTTTAGTGAATTTAATCGTACAACTATGTACAACCATCCAGGGTCACACAGGAGGGGGTAAACACCACGGCCTTTTCTTCTGTTTTTTATTGTCGTGCCCCCCTTCCTCCTGGTGGGTGCTGAATTTTGTTCGAGAAGGGTTCAGCCGTCTCTTCCCCTCGTCAACAGTTTTTGAGCTACATATGAAGTGTTTCGCTTTCACCCGCAAATGCTGTAAATGTTTCACCGCGTGGGGATTCGGGCTCACGACCTTCGTGACTAGCGGTTTCGGGGGGTACCACTAGACAACCGGGGCGACCGGCAGGATGGCGGACTTTTTCTTGAGCTAGATTCTACCGAAGGGAGAGCATTTCACTATGATCATGCACTGTTCACCGTCCGAGACCCAAAGAGACCCTACGAGCGAAGCGAGCAATTACGCTCTGTGACTAAACACAACTCAGTGCTTATGAGTAAAGCCAACCAACGCGCACCGTGCCCGAACGGCGGATACGCCAGTAGGTGGTGTCTACCGGCGAAGAGAGCCGCCGCTCTCTGTGCCCAAGTACCGCTTAATGCCCGTTCTCCCAGTTAGTGCATACAAGCGGAGCACACCAACACACACGTGCAACCGTTCTTCATGTCCTTGGTAGTCGGTTCGTCGGCGATGTCCAGGAGGGAGCGCGTTTCATTCGAGACCCAGGCTGGACACTTTGAAGTGTTTTTTCCTGAGAACCTGAGAACCTGAGAACCTGGATACTCCCGGCTAGAGCATAGCCGACGAAAGGACTCGCCTGAGACCCTGGAACATTCTGCAGGATGCGGGCGGCGAGTGATAGAAGCGAAACAAGGATTGGACGGATAGTAGCGCTGACAAGGGGAGTCACCCCCCTCGGAAATGAACGTGTCGAGGCCCACGAACCCCACGATTAACTTATGTTGAAGCCGAAATCAAACCATTTGACTAGACTTTCAGCGCTGAATATAGTCTAATTGTTTGATTTCAGCTTCTACAAGTGGCAACAAACGGGGGGGCGTAAACGAGTTTGGGAAGCAGGCGCTGTTGCCAGGCACAGAACTAGTGTGACGAGAGATGGCAGGACTCCACCTGCTCAACTATTCCCACGTATATTTGGGACGGAATATTTCAGATCCAGGATTGGATGCTGTGAATGCACCAGAAGTCGCTGCTTGTGCTTGTTAGACCTCGTAGACATGCTGCACACTTTCTTCGCCTCATGGAATCTCTCCGGAGCGATCAAGCCTCAATATCACAGTGGTACTTGTACATGTAGTCACTGCTGTAGTAAAACCTAAAAATGGGAATTCACGAATTGAAATTCGGAGAGAAATGAACTATCTCTTGTGGTTGGACTGGGGATGTTTGCCTTCGGGGTCGTAGCGAAGCGACGATTCAAGTATGAATGCGGCGCTGATTGCAAAGACGAGGTTCATGTAGAGGGAGCTGAGCTGGGCAAGTAGGAGGTCGTCACAGGGCGACGTTTGATCACGGTAGCTACACTGGGGAAGGAATGGAGCGTCCTTACCTTCCTTTTTCCTCGCGTGAGAATCCCTGGCTGGAATATGCTGGGAATATGGAGCATTCACTGAAACGTGTAGCCTAGGTGGCGCTCAGAATGGGACGGTTTTCTGGCCAGTCTGGAACGGCCAGGAATATCAAGCGTTCACCCATCGGTGTATGTTTTCGCTTTTGCTCTTCCAGAGTTTGTAGCTTCCATACTTAATATTTCAAGCTGCTTTGATGTGAAGGCAACTGCTGAAAATGGAGAGATCTTGGCGACAACACGATGCAGTAGATCATGAGCGACAAATGTTTAACGTGCTTCTTGTGGAACACTACAACCCACCACATCCTACTCGCTCGACTACGGTTGAAACAAGATCTTCCGATGGGATAATAAGCAAATATGGGAGGGCATGAGGTGGAGAGTGAGAGATCAGGACGCTGGACGTGAAAATTCGAGAGAGAGAGAGAGAGAGAGAGAGAGAGAGAGAGAGAGAGAGAGAGAGAGAGAGAGAAGAGAGAGAATTGAACACGCGAAATTGAAACTGACCGGTCACACAAGCGCATATGTTCTGTAGGTGTTCCCCGGAATCAGTAGGGTTGAATACAGCTCTTCCTCAGGAAGTTGTGCAGGGTTGTTTCTTAATGAATCTCCTGCCCGCTTTTCGGATGCAGCCAACAGCGGTCTTGGCTACACGTACGCAAACAAGTACAACGACGCTGGCACATGCAATAATCGTTCGCCGAGGAACACGTGGCACCTTCCGTTTGCAAGCTTTAGTCCCAGACACCCATGAGCTCTCGTCGTGTCTGAGTCAGGAAAGGCAAAAAGCTGTTCTCTTTGTAGAACGTCATGTTCTCTGGATTTCATCGTGTACATTCACTGACATGAATGGACGCAGCGATGTGCTCGTGGTTGCCAACCTACGATCCCAGGCAGAGCGTCCACAATATACCCTTGGGTTGACTGGCGCTTCGCGGATTTGTGGACCGTCCGCTCGACTGAATAATATCTGCGGGAGGGAGGGATGCAGGCCCAGTCTCCAATGATGCCGCGCCTTGTCGACCTTGACCCATGATAACAAAAATTCGGAGTACCCGGTTTGCATTCTCATCGCGAAATGAAACCTCATTTGATCATCCGCATGGCGTCGCGAGCGAAAAACGACGGCATCGACAAGCCTAACCCCAAAAGGCAAGCAGATCGTCATGCCCATGTTCTTCGAAGCCTTCAACGGCACCGAAGGCAAATCCCTCACTCTCGAACTCTCCAAGAACAGAGGCACTATACAGGGCTTCATCCTTCAACGCTAGCCAACTGAATATCCTGTGGTAGGCTTCAATACCATCTGCACTGTAAGAGCATCCGGACATCTTTACGCCGGCGGAGTCACGTATCATCTAATGGGAACTTGAGTACAACAAGGCCGAGCGAACAACAAAATGGTGCACACAAATAAACCAACGCGATTACCGCCTACTCGATAACATCAGTGTCCACCCAACTCCGCCGCGACGATACGCCGCAATTCTCTACCAGAAAAAAACTTCTAGGTCGTCCGGAGACACACTTTGGCGCTACTACGTCGAGGGAGTTTCTGATTTGGCATCAGCAGCAGAAGCAGCAGCATCAGCACTTGTCGCTGTTGGCTCCTTGTTTGCTGCCTTCTCGTTGCTCTTCTTCTTGCTCTTCTTTGCCTTGCCGGCCCCAGCGGACCCCGTCGGGAGGGGGACGTCAGCCAGCACCTTCGCCATCAGATCGTTCACTCTGCGTGGGTAGCAGCGTAAGCCGAGGGAGGGGGAAGGGTCAAGACATGGGAATCAGATCGCGTCGATGGCTGCGTTCTCACATGGTCTTCACGCCTAACGCGCGCCCAGATGAACATAGCAACATTGACGCGGCAACCATCACGTCTTGCTTTGCCTCCAATAGTTTGTTGGTCAAACCAATTTTTTTCCACTCTTCACTCACGACTCCTCAGCAAGCGTGATTGGAAGCTTTCCTCGTCGCCCCTAACATCAGAAAAGCTCCCATTCACACAATCCTGAGTGAAAAAAATCTGTTTCGACCACCACGCTTGGGGTCATGAAATGAAGTCGAGTCATGTCCGCTACGTCCTCTTGTCCCCAAGACGCAAATACAAATAGCTCAAACGTCCCTGATCCACAGCCAGGGAGCACCTGGAATCGTTGTTCCCCTGCCGTGCCATTCAACTCGAATGCACTATTTACCTACCGGTTCGGGGGAAGCAAGGCTTGCTTACCCAGAGGGACAAGGAACAGTAAGACACATACTATGTTATATTATACATGCAGCTGAGTGGCGGCACTGCACCTGGGGAGCATGACTCGGCTGTCGTCCATCAGGCCGGCGGCGACGAGCGCGTTGTCAAACACCTGCTCGGCAATCATCTGCGCCAGCAAGGGGTTCGACGTCTTGATCACGTGCAGCTTTGTCATCAGGGGGTGCCTGCGCGCACGGGCGGCCAGAGACGGCGGCGGAGTTGTAGCAGAGCCGCGAAAGAACTAAAATTTTGAGGACAGAACACGCCAGCATCTAGATGGGCTTCCTGCACCCCTCTGACCTACAATCAAACTCTGCGAAGAAGTCAAGAACTCATCGTCCTTCACAAAACCTGCGTATCAACGAGAGCTCGCATGCTATTACCGAAACCCTAAAAGAACGTTTGAGCGAAGCTACTTCAACCGCCGTGGGGGGGGGTTCACAAGGTACACACACTTGTTCTCGGCAGCAGCAGCAGAGGGAGCACCACCAACAGGAACGTGGGTAAGGACTATAGTCGTCCCCCTTCTCACATACGTGCACCGTCAACCACGTTAGGGAAATTGCCCCCTTTCCTGCCCATTCCCATGCGCCGAGAAGACGGCTGCCGAAACATCACAACAAGGTCGCAGCAAATAATCAGCAGCAGCTTGGCGGTGGTGGTAACAATCAGACAAACTTCTTTCCCCCCCCCTTAGGTGGCGAGAGATGGCTCACTTTGGGTTTATCTCGACCTTCTGCTTGGGCAAGGCCGCCGCCGAGCCCGAGTTCTGCTGCTCAATCATCCGCATCATCCGCCGGAGGGCTGCCGACTCGTGGCTCGAGATGATGGCCGGGCTGTCTTTCAACCGCGTGGTCACCTTCGCCTCGAACACCTAGCTTTTGTTTTGTCCGCAAGAGCAAAGTAGCTCAGGGATTAATGGATGCTGTTTTTCTTTGGTAGAAGTGAACTGAAATTCACACATGGATGGTGGACGGCTGCAAGAAATGAAATGAATTCACACATAGAAGGCGGGGTGGAGCAAGGAGTGAGCTGAAATTCACACGGGAGTACGGACGGGAGCAAGTAGCGATCTGAAATTCACACATGCGGTACGGACGGGAGCAAGATGTTGACCAAAATTTCACAACCCGCAGCTGCACAAAATAGGTGAAGGAGCTCGGATTTGTTCGTCCGCGTACCAACCTTGCCAACAACGGATTTGTTCTACCAGATAAATGAGAAATCGCGACATGTATGCAACCTGTGTACTGGGGACGTGCTGCGCTAGCAAAAGTCCAGTTTTCTAGTTCAGCCTCATTTCACTTTGTGCGTGTGCAGAGACTAACAATCCCCTTATTTCGGCTTTCATCGGTGTGTGCGATATTTCGTACCAACAATTTGTTAGAATTCTCCATTCTCGTAGGCGTATCCAAGATTGGCCGTCTCATGAACCAATTTTGTACAGCGTTAAAATCATGAATACCTTGGAACCTTCTTGGAGGAGGCGCCAAGCAGTCCTGCTACAACCATGCCCGTACCCCACGGACGGATTGTTGTCAAAAGCCAAGGTCTGAAAAAGCAACGACCCGACTACGTGGGGGTCCCAACAAACATTATCAAACGACAACGCACCCTCTCCGGCAAGGCCGACTCCTTGAGCCATGAGCACAGGTCCTCCGCGTCCTCCGAAGTCAAACCCGCCACTGCCGTGCGGTCCTCCTCCTCATCGCTATCCTTGGCGGCGGCGTCGTCGCCGCCGAGCTCGATGTCCTCCGCCTCTGCGGATTTGATCGGGCGGCCGGCGTACGTCTTGAGGTTGTTCATGACGAAGTCGTCGATCGTGTTGTACACGAACAGAATCTGAGGCAGCGGCGACGCGGAGGGGGCACAGCGGAATGATTTTTTTCGTGGTTGGCGTCGTGTGTACCGGGAAAAAGGGTGCTGGTCCCCGCTTGGGAGTGTAGAGACGAATTCCGAGGCCGTCTACGGGAGACGCTGGCAGGTTTGATGGGTTTTGACGCGGTACGGGTTTGATTGGATCCGCGCATGCCAGATGTGATGTTTGGTACGTACACACACGGGTGCCATTCTTCCCGTGAGCATTCGCCCCGAGGAGGCAGGAGGTGAAAACGGACACGTCGCCGCATTGTGAATATTTCTACAACCGTCGTGTTGTTCATGTTGCAGGCAACCCATGCATGACACGGAGTGAGTGAGTTTGTCGGCTGTTGCGCAGAACGGACGCAACACAGACACGTTACGTCGGGCAACGCCCTACGCTGACCACAGAGAACAATGCCCTGAATATATCCGTCTGCTAAAGGTGTTTCCTTCGCATCAGCACGCACGATACCGCCATGTTCATTCTGGGTTGTACCATCCTGCCCGCCGCTTTTCACCTCTCTCCCGGAATCCCCGAAGGCTTCGTAGTACGGCGACGCCATAGCCAGCTCGCGGTTTGGCGCGCAGAGGTAGTAGATTTCCTTCTGCTCCGGTGTACACCTGTAAAGAATTTGAATAAACATGTTACCGGCACACACAACAGGGCAAACTAAAGCATACTTCTGAAAGGAACCAAACAAGGAAGAATAAACCGAGCGTTTCGTAAGCGGGTGGGGAACTTCCAGTAATCACGTTAGATGCCACCTAAGCCCCCTTTTTGTTTTTATACAAAACACAAAGAGTCCAGCCACAGATGACAGTCCAGGATAAACTAGCAATGGACGCGTAGCTTTAGCGGGGTACTACTTTCAGATGGCACGGCTGTTTGGCGCGAAAGCGTAATGCATACAAGCAACGACAAGGCTATTTCTCACCTTGAGACATACTCGTCAAGAGAGCACAGCTCGTCCTTCTCGCCCTTGTTGCTCTCGAAGTACAGCAGCTTGGCGATCTCTCCCTGATGAGTGAAGTCTTGGCACACGCCCTGCGAGTATGGTTGACGGATAAATCAAATAAGAGAACAGTCCTAAGTTTCACTTGGGAATGAAAAAGAAACCGGCGGACGCGCGGTGGGAACAAGAAGACGGGCGGGACCCGAACTTTAGGGCCCACTTTTATCGAACTGAAGCAGGAAAAACGAAGTGTCTCTCGTAGAACCGCAAACCATTTTACGCTACCGTTACACCGGCTCCCGCACGGCGTGTGCACAACATAGAGATACCCCTCCACAAAACGTACAAACAATCCCCCGATCCCGGCCCTTTCATCCCGACCTCCTTCAAGAACGCCCCGAACTCGGCGAAGAACTGCGTCCGGTACTTCTCCGGCTCCTTCCGCATCATCTCCTGCAGAAATCTGATGATCTTCTTCGTCAGCACGCCGCCGATCTTGCCGAGAAGGGCCGTGTCCTGGGGCTTCTCGCGGCTGAGGCTGAGGGGCAGGTCCTCGCTGTCCACGACCCCCTTCACGAACCGGAGCCACTCCGGCAGGAGGTCTGGGCACTTCGCCTCGATCAGAACCTGGGGTTGGGCGAGTCGGGGCATCAGGCGGCGTTCGGTGAGGTGGGGTTGCGCTCATGAGCGAAACGGGAGAGGTGCATGTTTTTGCTTGATTGGCTCGGCAGGAAACGGGACAGGAGAGAGGGTACAGGAGAAAATAGGGGACGGGGAACAAGCGAGACTATTCGGTCAAGGAAGGCAATACCAAACACGTCTCAGCATACAAACACGCATGCATGTATACAGTGCAAAGAGTGATTTTTCTCCTCGGCGCTGCGCTCCCGCCCCATTTAGCACTCCTTTGCTACATACCACGCTTCGTACCACGCATCGTGCGCAACTCTGTAGGCAATCCACGGAACGATGCCGCCTCTTCCCGTAGCCCTCTATGACGTAAGCTAGCTTCTTCGCTTCTCCTACAATACGAATTTTGCAACGCAGATGACCTCGACCGGTAAGCTGGGCGTCCGTCCACAGAGCCCAACAAATGTATAAAGGCCCTTCGCATGGCCGCTGCAACCGCAAACCCCTCTGCCTGGTCCTGCGAGAACCCAGCGTGCTCCGTCCCGGCGTTGAAAGGGTGCGAGGTCAAGGGTCTAGCGACCATGGCATGTACGGCTATGAGTACACCCCCCCGCCCCCTCTGCCCCTCAATACCGTCATCGAAGCAAGCCAAACTTGGCGCTGACGCTTGCGCTTGCTTGCCTTCCTGCTGTAGAGCGACACACCCGGCTCAAGTCGAGCCATCCCGAACTTCTCCGTGTGGTAGCTGGGGAAGAAGAAGAGCGCCTTAAGCTCGATCGGAGCGTCCGTGCGGAAGTGTAGCTGTGTGTCATCCAGGGTGCACGTTCGTTTATTCGGTGGTGTGTGGTTTGGGTGTTCCAGAGGAGGAGCGGGGAAGCAGCGAGGGCCAGGAGGGCGTTCGACAAGGGTTATGGTGGGACTTCAGGTAGTTGGAAAAAATGCGAGAACATGCGGAAGGGCCTACGGTTTGAGACCAGAAAGAAGCACCGCATTACTTGTACGACGGGACGAAAACAAATAAAACAACTGACAAGCAAAAAAAAACTGCATCTTTCGATGGCAACAAAGGAATGGGGGTTGCATCACAGCACACGGGTCGATCGCTCAAACTCTTGGCAACATGTTTCCACACACAGAAATCGGTTCTTCGAGATTGCCGCGGATGGTCGGGCATGCCATAAACCGTGGCAGGACACGGCGTGCCCCCTCCGTATTGTATTCATCAAACTCTGACAACGACAACACACCAACGCACGTCCTTGCTCTGCGTCACCAGAAACCTTGGCACATCACCAGCCACCAAGAAAAAAGGCGTTGCATCTTTCAACGACCGTCTGTCGGACAGTGGCTGACAAACACGCACGACCTCGAGTCGTGTGCACCTTCGTGAGCGGTTCGTCGTAGGCCTTGGCGATGAACTTGTAGAACTCGTCGTACTTGGCATCCTCCACCTCGGACGGGCTCTTCATCCAGATTGCCTCCACAGTGTTCACCTCCTGCTCCCGGTTTTCACGCACACCACCACAAACATGCATGCATGCACACACACAACGATAGTTATTTTCCGACTTGAAGCTCACTGAGAACAACGTCTGTTCACCCGTCAGGCGTTTGGTGCGGTCGATGTCACACATACGCAGAGATTTCGTCCGACTTGAGGCTGGCTCACTGAGAATGACGCATGGCTAGCGCGGTCGGTGCCGCACGCGCACGCGCAAACAAAGACAGCGGTACCGACACCAGACAGGGCAAGTTACATCCATTTCACACGCACTTGCATTTCCACGGCCAGGATTTTCAGCGCAAAACTACACCTGAGACTTTCAAACTCTCCGTTGAAGCAATGGCAACACCAACGATTCCTGGCGTCGAACTGCGTCATGAGCTTCGAAAAGAAAATCAACGTTCAAGCTTGGAACGGTGTCGATGCGAAGTTCCAGTGCAGCATGTCGACCCATGTTGAAACAAAACCTCGCCACAACTGATCGTTTGACACAGGGAGCGCAACAAAAAGAAACAGTCGCACCTGGAACAGAATGGATAGTAGTGAAAGAATAAAAATCCCAAGAGAAGAACAGGGATTGAAAGGGTATGGGTGATAGAACAAGGAACGATGTTCGGAACCGAATGGATCTTAAGACAAGCGGGTGGCAACTATGAGCTAAGGAGCTCAAAAGAGTGAATGTAGGCGCGCGTGTAGCCCGGGAACGTCACTACCAGACGCATGAGTTGTTCGCACGCCAGAGCAAGCCACTCCCCGCACCCAACCCCCTGTTTCCGACCCCTCATCCCCGCGGAACCCCCCTCCAATCGCTACCCCCTCCCCCCTTACACTCAGAAGAGAAGGGGGAAAAGAGAGGAACGACGCAGGGAAGGTGCCAAAGGACGAGGTTGAAGAATAGGGGAGGGCACAAGAATTTGCTAGTCATGTTTATCTTGGAGGCACGGAGAGACTATGCTACAACCGAGAGTGTTTTCGTCGGAGCGAGCTGCCACGAACTAGCTCTCTCTGCGAGAGAGCTCGGAGGGCCTTGCTTCTACCCGCGACAAAAGCACACTCGGTCTGCAGTAATCCTCCCGCACAAAAGCGGGGCCGCAATGCATTCGGCGCCCCGCTGGAGCCGGGGCCTCCTGAGTGTTACTTATTGTTCACCTCGCAACCGCGGGGCTCAACGACAAAAACATTCTACAAAAGCCGAACGAAAGCAAGTAGAAAATATGCAATACAGCAGTAGCGCCGAACTTATGCGAGTATGTAGAACGACGCAAGAGCGGATTGCGCTCTGCTGACGACAACAAACACCACCCCATGCACTAGCATACTCTCAAATCAGACTGAAGCTCGCGCAGTCATATCATACCTCGCCGTTGAGCTTGATAGGCACGCCCACGAAGTTGGAGTACTTTTGCACGACCTCCTCCACCCTCGCCTGCTCACGACCACCCGTACGAAAAAAACAATCCGGATTGCGATGGTGATCAAAAATAACATACTTGGGGGGCAAAATTACAGCACGACGGCGATTGTAAAACTGGTCATCACATCATGATAAATGTCCTGCAAAACGAGGCCGTCATGAGAACAAGCTGTAATAGACTGGCAAAGACGAACTCCAAAACAGTCTGCAAAAAAAAACAAGAGTCCAACACCAGAGCTAGCAAGGTGCCATGCGAAATACCATGATATCGATGCAAGCGTGTGAGCATGAGACAGCAGCAGTTCTCCAACCTCAAATAATGTGTACACGTTTAAATACCCGGCTATTCGGTTTGCTCCACCGCACAGCAGGTCGCTGCATCGCAATCCAATTCGCTGCCGTAATCGTGCGAGCGATCGCACCCCTCCCACACACGACTTTCGCAACTCTATTCCTCCCCTACCCAACGCCCAAAAAACTTTGCCCGGGATCACTGCGACCCCCCCCCCCCCCTACCTGAGTCGCGTACTCCTCGCAGCCGTCCCTCAACTTCACCACGATCTTGCAGCCCCGGGGCATCTCCTCCTCCCCCTCCGCGACGGCCTCGGCCTCCTTCACCACGAACTCCCCCGACCCGTCGCTGGTCCACACGCTCCTGCTGCCGTCGCGGGCCGACCGCGTGTGGACGGTCACCGTGTCCCCTACCATGAACGCCGAGTAGAAACCAACTCCGAACTGGCCGATGATGCCCTCCAGGGCTCCGGAGGGGGAATCCCCGTCCTTGCCGTCCCCCGCCGCCTCGTTCAGCTCCTTCAGGAACGACTTAGAGCCGGAGCGGGCGATGGTGCCGAGGTTGAGCTTCAGCTCCTCGCGGGTCATCCCGATGCCCTTTTAGTTGGGGGGGGCGGGGTCGAGCAAGGCAACGCGCAGAGAGAGAGAGAAAGAGAGAGAGAGAGAGACCAGTTGCGTCAAAAGATAAGCATTGTTTAGTACCGTTGGGTCTCACTGTTGTTACAAACAGGCTCGGGCCGGGGTTTGCTGCTGTGTAATGGACACGCGGAACGGTCTGCGTTTCCTTCAGTTTCGACGCGGATGGAAAGCGGAACCGGACATGCAACCATGGAGTGGTGCATGCTATGTGCACCATGATTTCCTGTCTTGGTTGCGGTTCACACTACCGTAACGCCCATGGCATCTGGCATGCAAACGTCGGGGTAAACGCCACCACCGCTGTCTCTCATGACACGGCGACATCAGAACGGGTTGTCTCTCACTGCTGCCTCCATTTCCCTCTCTTACCGACCTCTGCATGTTTCTCTCTCTTCTGGATACACATCTACCTTACATCGCTGCTTGCCCTCTCCCGTTCCAACTTCCCTCCCTACCGTGTCCTGGATGGTGATCGTCTTCTCCTTCTCGTCCGTGGCGATCATGATCTCCGACGGCGCTGAGCCCTCCTCGATCGCTTCGCCGACCACTTGCAGGTGCCTCAGCTTCTCCATCGCGTCCGACGCGTTCGATATCAGCTCGCGGAGGAACACCTCCTTGTCGGTGTAGATGGAGTGGGTCACGATGTCCAGGAGCTGCCTCGTCTCCGCCTGGAACTCGAGCTTCTTCGAGGTCGTTGCCAAGAAGGGCGCGATAGACACAAAAGGATCGTGGCGAAGAATTAGCTGGACATTGGTCGCAACAGACAGTTTTGCGCGACCTTCACCGAAAAAATACTTGCTATTTAATACTGTAGTGGTGCCTGCGACGCCAGCGCCAACAATGCCGAGATAGCACGCCCAGTATGAACATTTATTTGTCGTGTTAAGAGGGTGAGGAGGGAAACAGAGTATAGAACCCGAACTTACGAATGATGTGCGCAGAGTGAGAGAGAGAGACACACACAGACAGAGAGAGAGGCAGGCAGGCGGGCATGGGGAAAAGAAAACCGGAGAGAAAATGGCCAGAGGGGTAACAAGGCACCACTGCGAAGTTGACGGCACAGCTCCGACGCTGTCCAACTTCCGTCTAAGCGATGTGGCACTTATTCCTTGAACAATTCAATGCGCTGGTGGCACCCTGCATAGAACCCGTACGAGCTGCGCAGAACCCGTGTGCCAGCTAAATCATTGCTGTCGGGTTCCACTGATCCCGTTGCGAGGGGCAAGGGAACAGCCAGCATGACACAACACCCCGCCTTTGCCGTCAAATACTGCAAAGTCGGTGAATGGGCGGAAGCGCGGGCTGCTTTCGAGAGGGACACCGCCTCACTCGAGCAGGCGACATAACAAGCTCATCGAGTCGTTCAGTGTAAGCTGCTTTCCCGGGGAGAAACGCTGCTGCCGTTGTACAGTTGAAGTGCAGCGGTGTTCTCAGCAAGTGTTCTGGTTCTTGCGGCACCGTCGTTGGTCGGAATCGAGGCGGTTCGACTGGTGCACCTACATATGTAGCACGGCCACAGAGAGCCCGGCAGCTTGCACTCAGAGCGTGCTGCCACACGGGTGGGAATGTGCCAGTGTGAAGGACCACAAGGATGTATCTACGTTCGATGTACAGCAGAGGTGTTACCAACATGGCCTCGCAAAGCCACCTGCGGCTCCCCGCCGTTTGACCGCACAGCAGTCAACACCACTGGTTCCGCTGGAGAAAAACTCTCGCAATTTGCGCATGTTCTACACAGATCAATCAAGACGACCACCACTGCCAGAACACGCACACAAACACCAAAGCAGCAGCGCCATCTGCACGGCATGTGCGTCGTGCAAGCGCAACATACCTCCTCTTCCTGCGCAGAAGACGCCGACAGCCCTCTCACGCCCCAGCACGTGGGCATCACAGGGCTTCTCCGCTGGCGCCGCAGAGACTCCTCTCCCCTAGAGCCCAGGGTTGCACCCAGTGCTGCAGGGGCAGCATCGCTCTTCGCCGAAGCTCGGCAGGCGATCCTCCTGGCCGTGTCTCGTGCGCACTGCGGAGGGTGTGGTCGTGTGGTTGAGCTTGACGCTGCTCTGCGAAGAGGCCCCGACACCGCACGCAGCATCATCCTCGAGTTTTGGTTTGCTCTCGACGGCCCTTCCTCCCTTTGACTACTAGAGAAAGTAGGCGCTGCCTCCTTTGCATACGCGGCCTCTCCTCTGTTGAAGAAACTCCAGCAACGGCGCCGACAAGCTCACTTGTCAACTATCTATCTTCGTTCGTCACACACAGCAGAGGTCCCACGTCCCACATCTGACATGGCAGGGCAAGGCAGGGGGAAAGGGGGGATCGCAGACTGCAAGGAAGCAGTACGCAGCGCCTGCGGTGTGAAGGACCCCGGCTGCGGCACACGGAAGAACCAATTGTCATATACCATTGGGAAGAACTTCGGAGTTCAGAGTTCCAGCCTACACCCGCCGAGTAACCTGCGTCCCTTTTTCTCCGGCGGTGGCACCTCGATTTCTCGCTAACAAGCGAAGAAGTAAATTACGTACCTCTCCGCGAGTAAAGCAGGGGTGCCAGATGAAGCGAAGCAGCAGAGCAATCTGAAAGTGTGTCCGAGGGTGCAACATCTTGGGAGTATTGTAGTTCACAAATGCTACACTTCAGATAGACTAGATAGATACAGACGTCGTATGCATACTGTATGACTGTAGCGTTTCCCCGCAATGTAATGTGTCTACAAGTACTGAGTGCAGATACCCCGAAACTTTCCAACAATGGCAGCCTATAGCCTTCGCAACGAAAACAAACAAACGCAAAACAGCACAAGTACAACAACGCGTACAATCACCCTCGATGCCACAATGTTCAGTGCAGCAAGTGTTGTTGCCACAGAGCTGCCCTACTGTACAGAGCAGAAAAATATCGAACAGCTTCGCACTCGCTCTCTTTTCCGCAGATGGATACCTGGCTCTGCCGTGTTCTTAGAATGCCTGGGTACCATGCATACAAGAAAGCCAGAACAATACCCCCCAAAAAAAATGCTCCGCGCAACGGCTACCTACCGCGTACACCACCACACCCACACTTAACACCGCCACCGGGCTGCTTGAAATAATGACTCGATCCGACGCCTTCTTAGCCACTGCCGTCGCCCTGATGGCGGCGGCGGGCTCCTACCCGTCGACCTTCGCCTCGGCGCTTGAGCTAACTGCAGCGAACTGCGACGACCTCGGCGCCCTGCCCACAACGCTGACCGAAGACACAAATTTGCTCCTCGATGTGCCTACCATCACGTACGGGAACCCCGACTTGAACTGGATCTCCTGCGACACGGTGAAGTAATTCGTTGACTGCTACAGTATGTCTACAGTGGTAGCGTGATCTATCTGTGATGTGCTGGTATTGGACTACAGTAGATGTGTCTAAAAGGCGTGGTCTTGGTGTAGGTGTCTCGTTCTGCTGCGGGTACTGGTAGCGCCGACCTTTCCACAGCGCGGAATATGCACAGCCGTCTACAGCAGTACTCAAGTCTATGAATGTTGGGCCGTTACTGTGTTGACGCTTTCGCTAGGGAAAATATGGTAGACTGCAAGAAGTACACCAGCTCTCCGAACTACAGTGGAGCTACGAGCTAGCACGGTGAACTGGACATACCGGTATGGCCATCGGAAGTACATTACAGCAGTATTGTTGATGCAGCCCTTTTTCCGAGATCCCAAACTTTTTCCCTGCTTTCCAACACACTGTTCAAATGATGGTTGATTGGTTGATGCGAATCTGACCTCTGCAAAATACTCACAGCAGGCTGGGTCCATGTGTCTGTGCAGTAGGGCGGGAAACGTAGGGCAGGTGGCCGGAAAACGGGGGATGAATCTCTGTTGGCACAGACGCTAGAGTACTTGATGAGGGTGGGTGCCCGCCCTACATAGGACGGGTGAATCTGCCTGGCACAAATCATACTCGCCCGATTGAGGGGCCAACCTCAATTTCACGATAGTCAAATGGTATTTCCCCGAACGATACCTCGTGAGACAGTTGTCAATACAGTACGGACTACTTCGTGAGGTACGGCCGCCAATGCGTAACGTATTACGATATGCAGAGGGATGTAAATGTATCGATATCCTTTGACTACTGCTGTGTTGTATATTGTCGAGGGTGTGCATACGAACCCGAATAGTGCGGAGTTTTTCTTCGCAGCGGTGCTTCCTCATGTGCTGGGTCCCGGAATAGTACGGAAAACGCCTTAGGTTACTCAGATCCCTGATTAGGGTGGTGGCCGCATTTTTTTTATCCTGGGCCGTGCAATGCGTGTACTTCGTACTATGCGTATGTACTGTCCAATGTTGCCAAACCTCAGCGGTTTGTACCCAAGTTAATTTGGTCGTTAGCCCGTCGGGCTGTCTTGCGTTGATTAGTCCACCCTGTGAGAGCCAAACTTGGTGCTGGGGAACCCTGTCGCTCTGGTTGTTAACCCGCTGGCCCCGTTTCGCTTGTCGCAGATAACAACTGTCCACGTCGACGGGCCGTACAAATTTATCGTCACGACCGACATGGACAACTACAACTTCCAGAACGCGCGCTTCGAGGTGAAGGGCGGCGCCGACCTCACCTTCGATATCGAGGGTCGTTTTTCCTTCAACTACGCCGAAAGCCAGGTGAGATCTTGGTGCGGCGTGTTTTCCCTAAAGAGCCTCTCCATCCTCTCCATCCCTCCCACTGTAAATAGGCGCCGAACCCTACACATTTTTCTCCTACACATTTTTCTCACCCAAGCATAACCAATTTTGGAATCGAAAACAGCCCGTGGAGACACAAACCTCTACGGGCAAGAACAAATTTGAAAGCAGCCAGGGCTGCTGGTACAGAGTTTTTTCTTCCAGAATGAAAACAAACGCTCCACCAGCTGCGTCGTGCTTCCGTTAGCAACAACGAGAAAAACACTACTACAATATCCGTGAAGAAGTCTGCCTTCGAATGTATAGAATAGCTCAGCTCCGCGTCTTTTTGTCGAACATCATCATGTGTTCGAACACAGTGCGGTTTGTCTCCTAGTCACAGAATGTGCGCCACTACGTCACCGAGAAAGCGCACCGAGCCATGGTGATGCAGCTGAAGACATTGCCGTGGTCGAATTTGACATCATGCAGAAGAGACGTGCTTAGGCGGAGTGGGCCCTAAGTACGACAGTTTGGGCGGCGATCTATGACGCACCGTCACCCACACCATTGGGACAAAGCTGGATACGCTATGGCCCCCTGTATCACCCCCCGTCGTTGAAACTAGTTAGAAAGCGAGCACCGCAAAGAATAATTTTGAGCAGAAGGCAGGCTTCAAGGTACCTGTCGCGACGTGCCGCACCGCCTGATCCACGAAAAACCGTTGCGCAAAGGGCTTGTCGGTGATCACTTCGCGCTTCATCCCTGGGGCCCTTTACTCAATGGCAACTGTTAGTTCTTACGTTTTTTATTTTTCTATGTGTTTCTATGTGTTTCGTTCGCTTTCGCCACGACTCTTTTTTGTCGGACAGGGGACAGACGGTGGGGCGATCTACGTGGAGAGCGGTTCGTCCGCGACTTTCGACGTGCCTAGCAAGGTCAACTTCGAGGGCAACACCGTCGAAGCCGGGTACTCCGGGGGAGTAGTGTACGCAGGCGGAGAGGTGAGGAAGGAGGTCGTCCATTTCTCGTCCTGCAGATGTAGGCGCGTGTGCCACACGAATCAGGGCGCTCCGCCGCACTTTTGTTGCGCTTGGAAGGTCTCCTGTTTCGGTGCCTTCCACCTTGGGGGGGCCTTGGGTTTGGGACTCTCGTTGTGCCTGGGGTCTTCGTCCTGCGAAAGAACTTTCTACCTCGAGCGGAGAGAAAGGTTACACCGTGTAGATCGAGTAGAGCAATTGGAATGTGGCACTTCCAAACCAGGGATGGCGGCACCGGTCACCGGATTGAACCAGAAGCACACCCTCGCTAGTTCCAAGAAAATGTCAACGACTCTGAAGTGGTCGCAGCATACAAACGGCGTTGCTCTCCCCCTCTCGGTTCCAACACCGTGCAATATCTAGCTTCTAGTAGTGCGAACATGCCCCAACACCAAGAATTGCCGCTCACAGGTTCGAAAGACGTAGTCGTGCGTCCTCTCCCGCGACCCTTGGTTAGCAGGAAGCCTATGAAAAGGTTGATGGTGCACCCCAGCGTAGATGAGTTCTTCCAACGACAGGACCCTCCAACTCCAGACGCTATCCGCAGGGCAACCTTGTCATGGATGTAACGCGACACAAGCTTCGTTCGCCCTAGTGAGGTCCCGACGACATCCGCCAACCTTTTTCGCTCAGGAGAAACCCTTTCGTTTTTTTTTTCCTCGTCTCGCCTGCGGTGTATGTATGCCTCTGTCACCCCTGAGAGGCATATGGTTTCCTTACCGTCCCCAAAAAGAGCCACACCAGAAGAATATCAACGTCTCGTTGCTTCTTCCCGTTTGTCCGTAGACTTGGGGTGCGGTTTTGAGAACTGACGCGCTGGATAACAGCAACATGAAAAACAACAATGACGTGCTAGCTAAAGAAAGCTTGCTGTTGCCTACCCGTGTCGGTGGATGTTTCTGACGTGACTCCATGCTGGCGTTACGGGCAGGTGGTGTTTACGGGCGACGCGGTGTTCATTTCGAACGAAGCCCGGAGCTCAGGTGATGAACCCGCGGGATACGGCGGTGCCGTTGCGGTTGGCCCTGAGGGAAGCCTTGAGTTCCAAGGGGCCTTGGAGTTCACCGACAACAAGGCTCAGAGCGGCGGAAGTGGAGGAGCGATCGCCAACTTCGGCTCCTTGGTTTTCCGGAGGAAGAGCTACTTCTGGTTCAACACCGCCGCAGGTACGTCTTGCCACCTACGCAATCCTGTGCTTCTTCACCTACGTGTGAAAGCGGAGTTAGATGACGTCATCGTTGCCACGCGTGCTCACCATCCTCTATATTCGTATTCGTCTGAGGTTCATGCACTGGATGTGCCTGATAATTCCCTGCGTAGAGTCGTATTGAAACAGGACTCGGCTGCACGCATAAGGAAAAAAAAACCAACTATTTGAAACTAGAACCCGACGACGCTACATATTATTTTCTACCTAACGGTCCTGAGATTGTCTAGCTCTTATTCTGCTTTCATCAGACACGACGTGACTTACTATGCTCGTTTTCCTCGCCTGTGCTGTCCCTTTGGCTTCAACGGTACGAATGGCCGAAGGCGCATGCGGCGTAAATACGGTAAACAAACTACATGTAGCGCAGAGAGTTGAAGAACCGGATCGCACGGAACTCGATGGCCGTGGCCAATCGCCCACCCAAAATCGACCGTTTCTCCGGAGAAGAGGAGCACGCGGGTCGAACGGAACCCCTTGACCAACAGATCCTAGTACAATCACTTTTCCCGATTGTTCCACCCGCCTAATGCCGCCCACCCACCCTCTCTCTCTCTACCAACCTTGCGTAGAGGACGCCAATGGAGATGGCGGTTTCGGCGGGGCCATCTATGCCGGGTATGGGTCCACCACCGAGTTTTTCAGGAGGACGATCTGGTTCTACAGCGAGGCCGCCAGCGGGGGCGCACTCTACAACCTCGGGGAGGTCATGCTGTACAGCAACGGGTTCATCAGGGGCAACAAGGCCGTGGTGAGGAGGGGTGACAAGAGTCGGTTGTTTGGACCAACGGCGCGTACAACTCATATCCATGCGCGGTTCTTGTTGGTGTACGAGGTAGCATCGTTTCGCGCGTCGCTCGCAGCAGAAGCTGGAGGTTCTGTGTTGATGACGTGCGTGGTGAGAATTTCGTTGTTTGAGGGGCGTGGTGGCAAGTGGACGGGCCGTTGAGCTCCCAGCCGGTGTTGAGCCGCCGACGTGGACCTGCCGCCGTTTCAGGTTTCGCTCTGGAGCCTTTGCTCGGATATTTAAAACCTAATTTTCATGTCATGTGTACGGGCCGCTCTCCCGGTGCACGGAGTCGTACTTTCGTTTTCGTAGCCTGCAAGACATGAAGGTCCTGAACCCCTACCGCCTCTGCTGCTCGTCCAAGCAGGGTAGCGTCAAGGCAGAAGGGGGACATATCTACAACTTGGCATCTGTCGTTGGCGGCGAACCAATTTACACCGGCGGGCAGATACAATTTAACGGTGACAAGGTCAACTTTCGTGAGGGCGAGGCCAAGCGTGTAAGTGGAGATCTGTTTTCGTACATTGTAACCTGGGGGGCTTGAGTAGAGATGCGTAGGAGGTTGTTTGTTGGAAGCGTCGTTCGAAAAGCGGAACCTACTCTGAAAGCGGCGCCAGCCCTTGGTGGTGATCCAGAAAGCCGAACCCCGTCTCCGAAGACCTACAACGCGAGCGGCAACTTGTAATCAGGACAAGGACGACTGGCAACGAACACAATTGCAGCCCAGGCACACCATGACCATCAACCAGCTGGTTCCAACGACTCACGCATTAGCGATCGGCTTTCTGCCTGAAACTGCTTGTTGTACTATTGCAGGGCGGAGCCTATTTCTCTGGCGGTCCGGGTTCGTCCTTGTCCTATCACACCGCGCCAAACCTCTTCGACAACTTCGCGGTAAGTTTGGGTATTTGCTCGTTTGTTCGCGTTGTTGTGAAATCATGTGTGGATGATCGACAGTTTCACAGCAACCGGTTTAGGCAAGACGAGAAAGTTTGCTGAGGTACCTTCAACTCTGGTTGTCCTTGAGACGAAAACTGCCTGTTCTATGGATGCATCGCCTTTCGAAGGAAAGGCGAACACTTCGTGGAGAAAGACATTCCGGCCGTCTGGTAGAGCTAGACCGCCGACCTGTTGGCGAGCTATTGTATCTACATGGAAGTGACGATCCGTTGGTGAAGTCAAGGCATAGTTGCACTATGTGCCGCCGTGAGCGCCACCGTCTTCCTTCTGTCTTTCTCGCACTTCTGTGTCGGAGCGATTGACAACTAACAGTTCTAGGGCATCTGCGGTTGCTGCAGGAACAACTGCTGTAGGCTATGTACGCTGCGTACATAGGAGTCTCCTATGCTGGTTTTCTGGTCTTGCACTGCTGTCGCCGTTCGCCTGACGGACCATCCACCCTGCTCGCCATCTCCGTCACCTTCCCCTCCGGGTCTCTCACGCACCGAATTCTGCATTTCGTCTTTCCGACACGACGACGACGACGGTGATCATCACGTCACCTCCTTCGACCGAACGTCCGGCACGAACGATCAACCAAACAACAACTTGCGTTGTTTCGGCCCAACGCTGCGCGGCTCTCGTAACAAATAGTCCGAGTACTGCGACGACTATGCCAGCGGGAACACGGACCCCCCCACGTGCAGCAGCTAACCGGAGTCTCTACGCCCAACTTCTCCCAGAAGGCGACGGACGTTCCAAGCTTCACTGTCGGGATAGAGTACAACCTCGAAGCGATGAAGGGGAAGATTTTGGCGCATAAGGGACTGCATGAGGTCCGTTGTAACCACTCTCTTTGTGAGAGCGAAATATGTAGGCACGAGAGCAATAGTTTCATAAGCCAGAGGCTGGTTTTTGTTCTTGGGTATACCGTGGTTTGGATGCCGAGCGATAGCGGTATCACCGGTAGTGTCGTTTTTCGCAGCTCCCGCTCGGTCTATGCAGACCACCGGTTTGTCGCTAATTAGAGACATAGACTATTGCATCCAGCAACCAAAGAGCCTGCCTTCTCTCTAAGAAAACTGGCGTTGCTACACGAACGCGAGGCTGAAGTGTTGGAAGATTAAAGAGAGTGCACGACAGTCGGCTTGTTTATCCTTGTTGGCAGGTGTAGGCAACGAACCGACCCTCGGCACTAAGCCAAAGCGCACCGCTCGTGTTATGTGTTAATTTCTAATGTACAATAGCAATATACACATTGACGTATCGTTTCGTGGCTAGAACGCGTTCACGACTTATTTTCGCGGAATCTGTTGCTTTGCGGTCGTACCCGGTTCTGACGGTCTCAAAAAGCGGATACCCTTGGCCCTCTGATTCCGATCCCCCTACCATTGGTCTTCAGGGTCTCAAATGCTCATCTCGAGCGAAGTTGCGGCTCTCGAGGGAATTCAAGTTTGTCTCGGTAGGGAACCCCAAACCAATGTCGCCTCTCCCTTAGTTTCAGCAGTTTCCACCTCCTGTGGAGGAGACAAGACTTGACCTTGTCTATTTCGCAATCCAAACAGCGGCCGTTGAACCGGGTCGCCTTAATGAAGGGTGATTGGCTCACGAAATTTCTTCTTGCATGTTTGGATTGTTCTCTGCAGCAATCGTGTAGCTACAGCTAGAAGCTGCATATTCCCGGGGGTAAAGACCTTGCTCTCGTGGCAATGCACATCTCCTATCGGCTTGGATTCTGCTATATGCCACGTTGGAGCCCACGCGAAGTATCCGGCTGATTTATGTGAGCTGGTGCGCTGCTGCTCCTGCACTTGCTGTATTCTAAAAGTGTGTCAGTTTCAGTTGGGTCGCTGCAGTACGGTCGCGATTGGGTGCTGAAGAAAGTACATGATGCGCGTGTTGCACAGTGCGTAGCCTACAACAGGAAAGGCATTCAGTGTCGACCCGCTAATAAGACTCGACCGGATGAGCGCATCATTCAAATGCTGCATTCGGACCGATTTCGTCTTCACGAGTCCCCTCCAAGGAAGCTACATAATTCCGCACACGTTGATTTAGTGTTTCGTGTTGTCTTAAGACGTGGTTTGGAGGGACGCCACAAACCAGCCTTTTTGTACGACTACCGTGTGGTGGTGTTTTTTTTGTTATCAAAGCGCCATCGGCTTGGAAGTACGCATCTTCTAGCACATATGTAGATGAGCCGAACGCAGCGGTAGGAACGTGGGCTTCGATCGGGCCGATCGACGATTGCGACTAGTCGGCGGCACGTCGGCAGGGTGAAAGGGTGCGGAACGCCAGATGAGGATAAACACGTTACTGTAGTTCGGGGCCACGCGGCGATTGAACTTCGAAGGGATGGAATCCGTTTCGTACGCCCTCCCGAACGATGACCTTGAGCATATAAATGTTCTTGTATGCTAGTATACTTTAGTCCAAAAATACTACCGTAAACAGTACCGGGGCGGGTAGACATGCATACGCAACCGATGAGACATGTAAAGTTTTTACTTTGAAAGGAGTCGGCACACAAACTTTAACATTGCCACTGCCTGGCAAAAAGAAGAAAGGAGAAAAAAAAAACACACGTTTTGGTTACGTTCCGTTAACCACATGCTCCGTCGAACGTCATGCCAAAGCTTTCGGCATGTTCGGAGTTGTACGGCCAGCATCACTCAATCAAGCGCATTGCTGTACGGCGAGGATGGGGCACCGAGTCGTCATCGGCGTGAAGTAGCAAAGTGTGGAGGATAACGCTCATACTCAGTATACGTGCTCTATACCGCCCCCGGGCTACCGTTTTTCTCGCTATGTAGTAATTCTGAGATCCCCACACGCAGCGTTCTTATCTCGATTCTTGATTGGTCGTTCCGGGTGTTGTAAATTTCTCGTGTTCCAGGACTCGGATGTTGCAATGGTATCTATCCGTGCCAGGATCTGGATATACAAAGTGGGCGGGTAGATCTGCTACGTACTGCTTCTTCAGGTCTCTGTGAATAGCCCAGGATGCGGAGATCTACGGACAGATTGCTTGAAAGAAGTACAACATTGTCTGTGTATGCAATGTGGAATTATTTGTTGTTGAGATATTTAGCCGGTGGGGGTGTCCCCCATGCTTGTCAGCTGCCACCGCCCAAGCAACTGAAGCGAGTCAGCCAAGAAAAGTGAGTGAAAAGAATAGTACCCACGTGTACTGCACTTGGTACAGCAGTCAGTGGTCGGGTGCATCCCACTGAGGGCTCCAAGTTTCATCTCACAGGGCATCAACAAGCAGAGCGAGTCCCAAACGCGTGCATTCCGGCTACGTTGTTGCTTGTGTTCCTTGTGTTGATGCCGTCGTTGTTGTTGTTGTTGATCGTCACCCGTTCGATCTATCTACATAGACTGTATACCAAACCTTTGCTTCTACTTACCTACTGAGCCCAACCCCTTCGCACTCACACCTGTTTGTTATAGACTAACCAGTATATACCAGGAGAGGGGTGTAGGGTGCACTGGCGCACGAAAAATCTCCTGCGCACCTACAAAAATATGTACAACAGGTTTTGCAGGTAAAGCCGGGGGTTAGAGCCCACACTTCTAAGCAAGCTGCTTACGGGGGTCACATCGTGCAATATTGGTGACGATGTTTCACGTATACTTTGAGCGGGTTACTCCTGTAGGTGCTCTCCAGCGATCGCTGTGATCCTCCGCCCGTCGGAGGTTAACAACTACTCGTCTGCTGCGTCTGCTGTAGATTATCTCAATCTACAGCAGCATAGCTAGAGCGTTCGTGTGCATTGGTTCTCCACACAGCAGTCTTCATTAGGCTACTGCTGTACTTTAGATATCCTATCTCAGGGATGAGCAACTTGATTGGCATCCGCCTGATGTGGAGTACTCGCCCGCCTTGGGCATCTACCTTCTGTTTCGGGAACCGCTGCGTGTTTATCTCAACAGCAGTTTGGCAAGATACGCGAATGGAATCATACGGTAGAGAGGCGAGCATGTCATGTTGCTTGAGTGGAATCCACTTCTTCTGCGGGACGGAGATAAGGGGATACCGTCCCACCCTATGCTCTGTGTCTCGCTAGGACAATCGACCTTGTAGACCGGTAGAACACCGGTCGGGTAGGGCACGCCCGATAAATGTTGGGTAACCTTGCCCCCCTCGACCCGCCGCCGCTGCCGGCCAGCGGTTGGTTACGTTTCGGGTCATCAACAGGTTCTCACTGGTTATGCCGCACTTTGTCTGCCACGTCGCGCATCCGCTGATCGTATGATCTGCCCAGGTGTGCCATCTCTATGCATGTATATTGCTGTCGGATATCAAGACCTGCTCCAAATGGAGTATGTAGGCGCCTTTGCTAGACGGTCTCCAAGATGGCGTGTTTGAGTGATACTTCCTGTCCAAGCATGCCCTCATGCAGCAGGCCCTCATGCGTCAGTATGCCCTCATCATGCAGCAGGCCCTCCAGCAGACCCTCATGCAGCAGGCCCTCATGCAGCAGTACAATTGTCACGAGCAGTATACAATAGTCTGGTCCGTTTGGGACAACTTCTTCATAACTTTCGACATAGTCTATTTCGAATTAGAGGGAATTTAGCCATGCTACGTGTATTATAGTAATCCCCGCACCAGCCCAACAGCAAAGGTTTTAACCATAAAAAAAGAAGTTGCACAAGAAGACTTACTGCAATCTCAAGTTACTTTGGGGCCATCCTCTGAAAAGATTGTTGAAGACCGGAGAAAAATCTCGGTTGTATATATACATCGTCTACATAGACTAAAACACAAAATAGACCGTTTCGGAAGCTATTTTTTGGGTGAGATAAATGGCCCAGACAAACCGAGGGTCAGAGTTTTTTTCTAGTTTTAGCCGGTAACGTATTTTTTTTGTCTGGGACGGCCCCACTTTGCACCCAGGGCTCCGACAAACCCCTCTCACCACCCTCACTTTATCTGAGGAGTGGGTTCCTGTTCAGTAGGTCCAGATTTATTAGCAGCAACAGAGTGCAGTAAACCACGACAAGATGGCATCGCAGGGTACAGACTCGTCCGAGCCTCATGTCACCACCACTGGACAGACAGACCTTATCCTCCTCCTCCGGTGCGGGCGGCGTACGTCCATGTGTAGGTATGTGGTGATCGCTGTGGAAGGAACTGAGGGGAGGGCGGGATGAGACAAGCTTCACCAGCCTAAAAACAAAGTAACTTTCTTCCCTACAACCAGCTCAGGAGAACACTCAGACCATGAGCTGTAGGCCACTCGAACTGCTGGACGGTGGGTCCACAGTTGCCTTGTTACTCTCTGTCGGCGCCATCTCCTCTAGACTACACACAGCTGTTGCGGTTTGGAATGTCGCTTAAGAAATCGCTTCGTGAGAGCTGATTGTTCTAGGTTGAAGCCGCTGTTGCTTTTGCTGCTGTTTGCTGCTGCTGCAGCTAGCTAGCTGCTGCTGAACCGCCGCCTTCTCTTTGGTTGATTGAAACAGGATGCCACCCGAGCGGCTGAGAGTTTTCTCCTTTACAGGGTGTTTCTCTGCGGTAATAATTCTCTGCGGAAATAACACCCCCGATAGATGCTCCTGGCACCTTGGATGATAGATGGCAGCATCCAACCAAGCAAACCTTTTTGCTTTCTTGGGGAAAAGAAGAGGCGTGGGGAACAACGCGCGGCAGTCTTTCGGCCAATCAGCGGCGGGCTGTTGCCACGTCATGCCGAAAACAAATCTGAACCTCTTTTCGGAACTTCTTGATGCCAATTTTTGTTCGGGCAATTTTGTTTGGACCTTTTTTCCGACCAAAACAATTTTTTTTCCGAAACTCCCCAATGTGGATTCTCGCGCAGTTTCCTATATTGTAGAAAGAAAAATGGGAAAGAGCAGCCAACAAATTTCGACAGAAATTGTTTGCCGCACTCTGCAACCAGTATATCGTAGGATAATGTTGTTATTGTGAACAATCTGTTCATGTTGTGATATCAGGCACAGAGCGAAAAAAAAAACGATGTGCAGACTTTTTTCGCGTTGAGACGGGGCATTTGACGGTATTTTTGACGTTCTGAACAACCTCCCCTACCCCAAGAAAAGTGTATCTAAGTGCTGGGTGACAAACTGGAATGTTTCATATGAAATACGTCGAAGCTGCTGTAGACTGTAGACTAGCCGTTGCATTCGCGTTCCTCGCCTTCAACTATGTATTGCTTCAATGAGTGAAAGCACCTGGTCAGCTCCGGCTTTCAGTATTCACGGCCTCAACTTATCCGACACCAATCCTCAACCGCCAACTCTCCCTCCGCCGACATTCTCGGCAATGCTACGAACGAAAGCAAGAGTAATGTAACTTCTGAGACTGATTCGTGCATCAGCACCTTTGAAACAAGGGAGGAGATTTGGCATCGTTCCCTGAGAAGTTGGCGCGGGGGTGACGGGCTAGTGTGGTTGCCCTCATAATTCAATCCTTCCGATCCCTGCTAAGTACGTTGTAACATCCGTGCTGACGCCAAGCCTCGATTTGTATCATCTATCAGACCAGCGCCGCTAAACAGTACTGTATTGCAACCTAACAATCATTGAATGACTCGCTACCTCTCTATTCCGATCAGGTAGCATTCTCAATGCCCCAACTTCTCTGTACCGCTTCCTGGGGGCTGCTTCCCCAGCACCAACGATGTCCAAGAAACGTCGAGAGAAAGCCTTCAGGCAAGGGGGCGTGCACTTTTTTGTAGAAACTACTGTAGCCCTTTTCTGACTCCGGAATAATGGGGAATACGACATGCTAGTAGACTCGGTCCTCCTTCGTGCCCGTGTTGTCCAACCAGATGTAAAAACACGAGTAAGCACTTGCGGTACCAGGGCGAGAGGTTAGGATCGAAGGGTCATTGTAGCTCTCTGATACAATGACAAGCGGGGAAGAATCATTGTCAGGATTGAAAAGGCTAGCGGAAACAGTGGTAGCGGTACAATACTTGGGTGGGGCAGAAGGGAATAGATAGTGTTTACACGCAATCGTTTTGATGTCCGCGGTGGTTGGGGAATCCGTCCGTTCGTGTCCGAGCGGTGGCTAGAGGCAAGGTGAGTGTAGAAGGCGAATCGGTACGTGCACTCGAAAATCTGCTGTCAGGGATGGCTCAAGGTGTCAACAATCGAGCAAAGACACAGGTCCTCCCGGAACGACCGGTACAGTTTAATACATCCATGCCGAAAAGGTAATAAATGTTGAGTACAGCAAGCACGAAATTCAACACTTGCGCGGGAGTTCCCGGGCACGATGCCGGCGGACAAAGGATGCTACCATGTGTTATTGGCGAGCTTGGACACTGGCACAACATGGATTCCGGAAGGACGTTTCGAGCATTCATCAAAAGTCGAATACTTTGCGCAGGAAACCGTGCACGTGCGTGCGCTAATCTTAGCCAGGGAAGGCGTTGTAAGATTGGTGTTTCTTTTTGTGGCGCGTGAGAGAATCTCGCCCTGTCCGTTGGTGTTTCCGGCGGAGGCGGTAGACATCTGTCCGAATCTGGTGGTACGAAACTCGCGAGGTACAGCAGGACCCTGATACGAAGTCCGGTCGATGTCAGCAAGACAAGGCAGGACGAACCCGCACAACAACAACTAGAGCAAGCCTCCCACATCCTGTCTCGGGATGGCGACTATGGCACTCGGAACACGAGGCATTGCACCAGCGGGGCTCGCGGAGAGCTTCAACAGGACGAGAGGCGTCACTCGGCATCATCTTGGGCGTAAGGTAAGACAAACCTACCATGTAGACTGATTTCACATCCACACAACGCGTGGCATCTACCCGTTGTACTCCCAGTGGCAGGCGTCTTTCAGCTGTTGGGCGACATCGAGCCTCTATCCCTTAACAACCCACTTGCTTGCCCTTGCTCTGTTGAAATCATCTGGAAGCAGTATCTCGATACCGTTCACACGTGGAGTGTGCTACTGTACCCCCTGTCTCTGAACCCCTTCGACCTTTGCAGCGTTTTCTCGGCATCCAGCTATCCATGTCCGCCACCCATGTTGCCGGTCAAATTTGTACGTGAGGATTGGTTTTTCCGAGCACACCGTAGTGAGACCACGTTGAAGCGTCTCATTTTGTCGACAAATGATGGCTGTGACATACTGCTCGAAACCTATACTAACGCTGCCAATCCGCCTGATTCAGGTTTGCTGTGCCCCCGCCTTGTTGTCCTTGCTCGTTTCGTAGGAAAATCGCGTTTCTCGGGACCAGACCCGTTCACACGCTGGTCAGCAACATGAGGCTCGATCCGAAGGACCATCTCACCAACCTCAACTCCCACGTCTACACGCGCGCGAAGCTAATCTACACGCGCCGGGACCTCACCTGCCTTAGCACGGCACCAGTGCACGAGGTCTGGACAACTCGAGCTCGAGTACAGCTCCTCCACACACAACCGTCGCCAACCTCCGTCCAATTCTGCCCTTCGGCCAATCGGCGGGGCAGAGTTGGTACCTGCACCCCACAGTAACAACACTTACCTGTAGTGACTCATGCTCTGGAAAACGGACACAAGAATGGCCTTCTTTCAGAGGGGATTTTCTCACTGCTTCGAGCGCATTGCACCACGCTGAGCCTGTGTGCATAAATGCACCGCTTTGTCATACAAGATACGAAGTGGTGTAGTGTGTTTCCGGGAACCTTGCGCGAACACCTCACGGAATAGCTTGCTTGCCGATTTCTCTGTCGATCCACCGCCGTTGCCGCCCAGCGCGAAGAGTGGTGTCAAACCTTCGACACACCTCCTTCGGTTCTTCTCTCGGAAATGCACATTCAACTTTAGCAAGCTGGGTTTATTTGTCGTGCATTTAGCGCAGGACGGTGTCGGAGATATGATACTCTTTTGAACATGTGTGCTGGGCCTATGCGCTTGCAGCGAGGACTGTTCGATCCGAAATGTACACGTGTTCTCGAGGAGTATATCACATACCATTGACGACCCGTATCGGGCGCTTTTCCCAGCAACGGAGCATGCTGCCAGCATACCCTTCCCTTGAGGTCTATCCCACGTTGAATATATACTATGTTGTATCCGTTGGAATGGCCTCTCTGGGTCCTTCCTCTGTCCCATAAACCTGTACCAATAGGAGTTATTCTGGTACGAGCACTTGACCATCCACGTCCGATGCCTTTGGTGATGAGGATTTTGAAATATCGCGCATTTTTATGGGTAACAGCGATTGTTATTTACTCGGAGTATTGTTTTCTTGCCTTGGACGGGCCATCGGCCGGGAAATCATTAGTCGGCCCAATAATGGCCCCATTTTGCCCCCATTTTGGCTAGGGCACAGGAACAAAAAGACACACACACACAAATCCTCAACAACCACCCACAAATCCGGGGTATTCCAACTTGATTTGTTTTTTGAAACAACGAATGTTTTCTGTTGTTCTGTCATCGGCATGACACATCTCCTTCGGTTCTTCTCTCGGAAATGCACAATACCGGACGTTGGCCCTATTCAACCGGCACTATACCGGGACACCTACTCTATGAATATTCTACGGATTGCTTGATCCACAAGGTTGCATGTGAGCTGCGTCTACCGCATCCATGTGGGGTAGGGCCGTTGAAAGGTAGTTTTAGCGCATCGTGCAAGACTAAACGCATACTGCACTACTCGTGTGTCGGATGAGGGCTTCCTTATGCACATATCCTGGAAAATGGTAGTGACATCATGGGCGTAATAAGGTGCTGTTGTAGCTATTCCTCGTCAGGTGCCATATTGTGGATATGGGCTCGTTGCTTGAGCATCGGATACAATGTACATGTTCGTTGTTTTCGATGGATGGGTTGTCCGGAACTGCGGCCGTTCTATACTCTACGGTTGTGTTTGTTTGCGTTTCTGTCAACATGGCCAAAAATTGGTTTGACCTGGTCTGATTTCACTACGCGTCGGTCGGGTCGCAGCTCATGTCCTTGACCGTCACACTATCGAGTATAGATGCACTGTTTTCCTTTGGAGAGTCGTTGCAAGCATTGGTTTCCCGCGTTTTATCCCTCGAACTCGATCTCCCGGTGCCTCGACTCGGAGTCACCCTATGCGTTTTTTGTCCGCGTATTTCCCTGCTCTTTGCATGGGTTCCTGTGTTTGTTGTGCCCTTATTGTGTGTTCACGACGGATGGCTCATATTTCGATTTCTAGCACCGACCCCTTTTTGCCACCGTTTGCCTCCCCCCCCTCCGTCCTCGCGTTGTCCGCGATTTTGTATTTACCATGTACTCTCTCGTCGGGTACAGTGCTCGTGCGGCGCATCATGCCGACGAAGCGTCGGGGGCAAACCGTCAGCAATAGATCAGGCGGAGGGAGCGGGGTATCAGAGGGTCTGATCGTGGCCAGGAAAATAAATCGTCTACAACCCCCACGGAAGTATTCACCATCTCGACTCTAGAGGATAATGCGCTCTTCGGCATTGTTTGTTTGCTCCAGGTACGGATATTCATTGATGATGTTGTAGCAGTGCGACTTCCTTGCTTTCATTCGGCTTCCTGACTTTGTGAACCACCAACAGTGGGCCCAATATTCGGCACGAATTTCATTTTGTACATCATTTTCGTCGTTTCTGATGTGGTTGGTTGAGATTCGGTCCACTGGTGGAATTATCTTTCAAGACGGCTCTTTGCGATCCGCCGTACTCATGAGCGCGTTTCTTCGTGTTTGGTCGCGGTCCTCCTGTTGAACACGTCTCGTACGCAGTACTAGGTAGTGTGTGGCTAAAGAGCTGACGCCGTGCTGTGGAAACTCCTTGCTCATGCCGAACGTGAGAAGGTGTCAAAGACGAGGAACGAGACATTGTCGAAGCGGCGGCCAACTAGTGCACTCCGGTGGTGCCGGTTGTTGGGGTTTTGGTCGTGTCAAGGAAATGGCCATGCTCGCGGGGGCAAAACTTTGTAAACTCACTTTGGAGGATTTGTAGTCGGGCGCGAAAATTCAGCCCTGTTCGGCGAATCACGTGCGTAGTCACGGTGTGGCCGAGTTGTCCTACGCACTTATGGGTTCACTCAAGGGGAAGACATCCAATTACGTTGCCTTTGTTGGGATTTCCTTTTGGACGGAAACCCAGCGAGAGGATCATACACATATGCCGCTTTGACTCACTGGGCGTTTCGTCGACCATTGCCTCTCATTGGACAAACTTTGAGGTTAAGGCGGATCCGCATGTACACGCTCGTATCAGCGCGGCATTCACAACAGCCCTAAAACCTTCTTCCGTGAAGACGGCCGTGGGCTTTGGTATTCAAGCTTGGCACTTGTGGGTGGCTAAGGGGTTGAACAAACGTGATTTCACTTTGGCTAATGCGTGGGTGGGTCACAAGACGCATGCCGGTAGCGACGGTGTTGTTGATTCCTCATTAGAAATGATAGTGGCCCATCCGGGGGAAAGCGTAATGGAGAAGGGGCCACTACGATGATGCTGCTGCGGAGCACGCGAGGACGAAGGCCTAGGAAGAATGAACGCATGTTTCGAATGGAAAGGTGTCTGCAGTCTCCCACCTAGGCGCATGAACTGCGTTGCTCACAGAGCACCCTACGATGCCACAAACCGAAGGTAGATCTCACGGGAGACGGCAAAACATACCATCTTTGATACACCAAGTTTCTTTCAGTTTTCTACAGACCCATACAGTGAAACAGTGCACAGGCGCCAACCCCACAAATGTTGCGAACACGAAGAACGATACGGTAGGAGCACTTCAAGCACCACTATCGCGTGCCTTCCTGGCTCTGCGGCTCTTCTTCACGGTTGGTGCAAAGCTGGTCGTGGGTGCCCAAAACTACCGATACCGCTGCCCCGAACAGCAAGAGCGTGACGAACCCAACGCACACCTTCCACGCGGTATCTTCGGGTTCAACGGCGCTGTCTACAGCACCAAAGAGTGTAGCGGCCACGGTTCCGAAGCCTGCGGCGGTTTTCCACGCGAGAGGTCGCCAGGCATGGAACACTCTGCTGCAAGAAGCAGACATAGCGGCACAACCTCCGGCCTCTTCCCCTCGATTGTCCTGCGATATCGCACTGCCGCCTTCATCGTGATGTAAATGCCCGAACGGGTCGTCTGGAAAAGAAAGACAAGTACAGCAGTCCAACGTCAAACTTCAGGTCAGGCTTTCTTGCAGCCCTTGACCAAGCCAAAATACCCCGGTTATTGCCGCCATACTGCGGGGGAAAACCAAACCCGCGTCAAACGTCTCGACCACGTACAACCAGTAAACCACGAGCATGTTAGCACATGGACAGGTCCGACTACCCGACAAGGGGATAGAGCCGACGTGTTGGCTGATATCGAAAAGGGAATGTGTCACCTGCTAAAAACCTGGCCGTCATGCAGGAGGTAGACTATGGTTCGAAACTTCCGAAGATGAACACACGCGGTGGATGAACCCCATCGACCATAACACTCCCGTCAAATCTACTTCATGTTTTCGCTGATCAAGAATACAGCTCCCGGAGAAAAGGTGTTGCCCACCAGTAACAGATTTGAGTCTACAGGAAATGGAGTTGTTCAGTATTGGACACAAACCTTCACCAGTTCCTCCAGCTCATGTCAATTGGCCATTCGGTCATTAAAACAGCAATACAGGTCTGAGTCACACGTTCAACGCTACCCCCGGAACGCTCGCTGATTCCCTGAAACACGTAGTAATGGCTGTTCACCTTTCTGCGTGTCAATGATAGTCCCCAAGCGCTCAAGCACTAGCCGCATCGCGTTTCCCTCGGTAGTGTAACAGTCACACACGTTCGGGGCTGTTCTTGGATCTGGGTCTGTCAGAATGGGATCCCCGATGCGTGCCTGACAGTCGGACATTACGCCAACGACAGAGGGGGCGCGAAACCAGCGACAATCTTCAACTTGTCCTACATAGAAACGGGGGGAACGGTATGCTTGGGGTAACATAGCCCGCAGTCAAACGCCCTTCTCACCTAACTCGATCGCTACGAGAGAATCGACATTACCTCGATTGGTGTTTTGAAGTACATTCGCCCTCTTGCGTGTATGGCGCACGCTGGCCCGCCTTCCCACCGGACACCGGGCCACCCCGTCGAAGTGTTCACGACCGATGAGGCTACCCAGCGCAGCGCTGCCCACAACCTGTCTTCCGCAGTGGGGCCGAACATTGTTACCGCCAGGACCCTCTCCCCGCTGCCGACTTCTTCGTCATAGCGAATGACGAACGAGTACAACCAGTTCAGTCCACCGTCGTCTGCCCGGGCGTAACTCTGAAAAACTGCGCCATACCTCCAGCATAGCCCCGACCTGACGGAGCCGACCTCATGACACGAGGCAATCACACGCTCCACGAGCCCGTGCGAGGCACCCGCACCATCAAACCTCCACTTCAGGGTCACCTCGTTTCCGCCATGTCGCTCGCTCAAGTCTCTCACCAGCTCTTGCAGCTCGCCCTGTATATTTTCTTCACAGGTATCAGGCAGCCTCATTATCACCAGCATATCTTGCCGGCCGATTTGGCCGTGAGCGGCGGCAGGGTCGATGGCGCTCGCAGTGTGTCGTTCTTCTCGCCCGAGGGGTAGGGCTACGCCAAGACTGTGAAGGACACCGCAAAGAGCATCCATGACCTCCTCGGATGGCGGCGCCTCCATCTCAAGGTCCCAGAGGTACTCCGCAAACTTCAGCCGAAGCACTCCGTTGTCGACAAGCTCATCCTTCATCGCGGTCAACTCGCTCCGGGGAAAAAAGTGACTTTCAAGCTTATGGCTTAGGATAGGCTTCAAGGCCGCTGATAGCCAGACCACGTCCAGGAAGATAACGTCGCTGTGAGCAACGCGCAGGATGTGTCCGGCGAATTCGCTGAAACCGCACAGGGGGGAAAGGACAAACCGATACTCCTTTGGCCCTCATTTCGAGCTCATCTGACTATTCACTGCGTTGTCGGCGTACAAGTTACCGCAACTTCCGGTGTCCAACAAAAGCGTCATCGTTGCACATGGTCCTAATGAAAGCAATACATGACGGACGCGGCCACTGAACTGGTGCAAGAAGTACGCGCCCTCAAAGCCGAGCGAAAAAGTGTTCAACAAAAAACTTGTAACTAGAATTTCACAGACCAAGCACCGAGCACCCGTCGCAACAAACACGTGACACAGTGAGAGCTGTTCCTTGCATCATAATTGTCAGTAGCACATCACCTGATCCAAAGCGCGCCTTCCATCGCACCGTGGTGGTCGGATACGGCCATCCTTTCCGCAGGCGACGTTAGCTCGCCCGCGACGCTCTTCACGGTGTCGTTCCACCGTTGAAACAAGGTTGACTCCGTCATGAACGACGATCCTTGCGCCGCGCCCACTTCGGCATCAAAGTCCAGATGTAGAAACCGCCGGGTAGCTGGCTCTGGGTCCCTCGAATCCCTCAAAGCGTCGAGGAATGCAAGAGCGAGCCCCCAGCTGGGCGGAACGACTATGGAAGTGGCTCCCTGAGCATCAACTCGAGCGATCACCTCCGACAACCCGCCCCCATCATCACAGCTGACAAGACTTGGCTGTTGCAGTATTGTCAGCTTCGTCACCCCAGGACTTTTTCGGTTCCCTTGCCATTCCTGCAGCTGTCTCCTTGCACTGCTTTCGACCGCGCCAGCAGTTCCGACGAATTCTTGAAGGGAGCCGTCGCACTTGTTCGCCACCAACAGTACCGCGGACCCCGGCACGCGAAGGTGTAGGGCATACAACCATTTCATGATGTCTTCGGACACGACCTGCGCGTGCGCACATATGTCTGCGGGTTGAAGTTGGAGATATTGTGCCACGATTCTAGAGGAGCGGAGGAAATACACGCACTCGGTCGTCTCTTCATGCTACAACTTGACTTGAGATGTTAGACCTGACGTACCTTACGGAGTAGGGGGGCAGAACAAAAGCACCGTGGACGGTGACAGTACCATCTGTAGAGCAGAACCCACAATGCAATAACCCTTGCAATGACGGCTCAATGCCACGCTCACCTTGTCGAGATCGTTGCTCTCTTTACCGTGGCATCTTGAAACGTCCCACACAAGCAGGTACAGAGCTCGTCTGGTCAGAAAGGTCTGGTGCATCCCATAGTAGTCGACTTGACCTGCACAGTCGTAAAACTCGACAATTCTGCCATTCCGCTGATGGTGGCGGCGTAGCTCAATGCCCACCGTGCTCACCTCCTCCGACGTCCCAACCGTGCGGGATCCACGCTCGTTGACAATGCTATTGAGCAAGCTAAAAATAGACAGGGCATTTTATAGTCATACGACGTACAAAATAGCACACGGTGATTGATTTTCATGAGGAAAATGGGGCTTCAAAGGACGCAACGATCGATCGTATCTGTTGGCACCCATCGTAGCTCCGGCCGTTTCCGTTTTGTGAGGTACAGAAAACAATACAGTTGCCTGCTCGTGAAAAATAGGTTGGTGCACGAACATCTCACGTCACGGCTTTTGGAGATTTTGAAATTCATGGCACAGTAGGAGTCCAAAAATCGAAACACCGCAAGGCGCCAGTATTTCAGGCAAGGACGTCGAGCAACTATTGCAGAACATCACACCTGGACATCTTGCCGGCGAAAAAAACGCTCACAACATGCCATTGAAGTTGCCAACTTCATACGTAGGTAGGGTGGGGCTAGAGAGTCTTCAGCGTATTCGGCTTTTATTCTGCATGTCCCCACAGGACACGATTGCCGGTTAGTCAACGTCGCCAAGAGATACCTGGTCTTCCCAGCTCCTGGCGATCCAATCAAGACCACCTTGAGCACATTCAACGTCTTGACTTCAGCCCCGGCCTCCTCCGCCTCTCGCACGTCACGTAGGTACTTCTCGACGGCCGGCAGCCCCTCGTTGACAATGCCTTCGGGAGGCATAACCCAGGGGTTGTCTTGCAGCCGAAGGTTTTGGCCGGAGGCGAGTTGACCAAGCCTTGCCACGAACTGTAACGCTTGTTCCGCTTGGCCAAGGGCTGGAAGGAGACATGAGAGAAACGTCGGGTCGGCGATGCCATTCGCGCGAGGTTATCCACACCGTGCTTTGCCAACCCCTGTGAAGTACCAGTACTGCTATTTTCCCTCAAGAAGCATGAGGCGCGACTACAGGTGTGCAGCGACAATCAACAAATGTTCAGGGCGGTACTCTTCGACGCATCTACAACTACCCTGCTCTGCAGACTCACACCGAACCCCACAAACAAATCCACTCGGCTGCTACAAACTCTCACCAATGATGAGAGAAGGATGTGGATACCTCAACACGTGGATGTAATAATCGTGTCGAACATGTGCCAACAACCAGAGGTCGCGTGCGCCGACCTGCGACCCCAACAAAGACAAACTAGGCCCACTACTGTAGAAACATTCTGAGGAGTTTTGAAGCCTAGCCTAGACGCATTCCAGTCCTCAATTGACCGCATGCATAACATAGGTTCAAACACTAAAGGTTTGATTTCTCACAATTTTAGTCTGTGGGACGATGTATACGGGGTGCTTCATGAGCACCCTCGCGCGTTTCGCACCCTGTGAGAGTCAGATGCCAACGCGGAGTGTTCCCTTACAGTTGTGCTGGAAGCGTCTGATACGGAAGGAGAATGTCCACCATTCTGTCTTTGGGAATTGTTGCGAAGATTCTCTGCCGACTGGGACAGATGGGGCATGTCATACCCTCGAATGTACGGAGAGGTAGGGTTCAATTGTACGGAAGCCATCCTCACCAGGTACGTGCTATTTACAGTATACTGTTATTCGTTGTTTCTGGGTGCAAGAGGGAGTAAGGATGCTGTTTGGCAGAAAGAAAAATAAGTATTGATTCACTGGGATTCAGTTGAGGAAGACAGGAGCGCATGTGTTTGTGGGACAAAGCGAGAGCGCATGTTTTCGGGGGAATGAGAGCGGGAGGATACAAATGTTTGGTGAGGGAAGGGGGGACAACTCTTGGAGTACACTAACATTTTGAGATATCGAAGCGTGTTAATGTCTCGGGGGCAAACTGATTATAGGCTGGATGACATTCCCTTGCCGTATCATAATGAATACATTTACGAGCAGGGAGCCTGTTGGGTGTGTAATCGTAGAACAGTGATATGGGAGACCTTTCGATCTCTACCCCGCTGAATGCGGAGGACTATGGCGGACACTCGGAGTGTTCCAGTCGGGAATCGGGTTGTTGTCGGCAGAACCTTGCGTCGTGAGCGCATGATGTGGGCGTTCCGGGCTCTCGACCCACGAGGCACACAAGTATACACAAGTGATATACAACACGTATATGGGACAACAAAGATTTTTCCATCTTGGCTAGCCTTGGCTGAGCACCCATTCTCCGCACAACCACATGCCGGGCCTCCCGATCAAACGAACAGGACGATTGCCGAGGACACACGCCGATTCAAAGCACATGACGTACAGATCTCACCAGAGAACCTGTTGTTTCTCAGATCCAGCTCCTCCAGAGCACCGAGTCTAAAAAGTTCAGGCGGTACGGTGCCTGCGAAGCACATCGAACAGAGGGGACCGCACCGAACGCGTAGAAGAAAAACTGGTCGGACTCAATACCGTTGGAAACTTTTGTGGGTATTGTACAAAACGTACTACATGAAGTCCTAACGACGAAGAGAGAGAAGGCCGGGAGAAATGTTCGGTATTTCCCTGGTTCACGAGGGCAATATTCGAAGTATCCAGAGGGAATGCGTAGGGCTGACATCTGAAATCCCAACCACGCCCTGGATGGTCTAGGAAAATGTCATGAGTATGGTATTAATGCAACACTGGTCTGAATCGGGCCTCGGCATGACTACAGCGGGAACTGCAAGTCGATCCCCAGCGAAGCTTAACACGCCAATACCACACGAAAGCTTATGTATGCGACGACGAAATCTCAACACAATAGCTTTGCATGGGCCAAAGTGAACGTGTTGGATGTACGCCGCTACAGCAACAACAGTGAGTGCGCGCTGATTATACTTGCCGCTCAGCTTGTTTTCCATCACGTGCAGCCTCTCCAAAGCCCCCAGGTGACCTAGCTCTGTTGGGAGTTGACCTGCGAGTCATCGTACCAGATCAAAGCTGCATATCATTAATTTCATCGTCAGACAAGTATGCCCTGCCGTGGCGCAAAACAAATGGTGTCATCATGCATCGTGCCGCGAAGTAGAGCAGCACACTTTGAAGTAGACTACTCATGATTACATGCATATCTACCCAAGGCACATTCGCGGCATGCCATAGTTCGCGAAATGTGGTTCGCGACGTGCAAAAATGTGGTACCCTCTGTCGAAGGTGGTATTGTTTGTAAGGGTCTGTAAACGAGCACGAACGATCATCATGTTTCGTGACGCAAGTCTCCCCAAGCAGACCAGCTTGATTAAGCTCGGGCAGGACACACTCTCAGACAGCAAAAAATCTCAAGCCGTCAGGCCAAGAAAGAACACAACCATCTCACTACGCATCAGATTCAAACATGAGGACGGTAAACGTTAGTGCCCAAGTCGCCCACACCATCACATATTCAATGGAAAATCGCTCCTCGGATGCCTGCCCCAATGAGCGACAAGGTAACGGTAAGAGCCATCAACACAAAGGCACCGCTTGACGACCAAAGGACGCAACCAACTCTCGTCTCCTTGAAGCCTGAGCAACCGATGAGAGGAAAAGACAGAACACAGCAGAGACTTCTGTGTGAGGCACGGCCTTCCTCATACAGAGGATGGTCAGCCAACCGCTTTTTTCAGGAAATGGTCTACATAGTCTCCGCAAGAAAGGTTACTACACTCTTTGTGACCGTGCCCCAATCAACGTGCATTTTAAACGTTTCTGGTGGCCGCTCAACAACCAGCTACCTACTTCGGCGGAGGTGCGAGAATCCCCGTGCTCGTGTGTGAATCGGGCATTACACGAGAATGAACACGTAGCCTCCCAAGCTCACACCAAAACCGACCGCATTTCTTGGTTTTAAAGGTCTCTGCAAATACGTACAGTTGTCTTTCCCTCCGAAACCGTTTTCACCACTCGAGGCTACGTAGTGCAGAGAAACCTTGCGCATTCAATTTCCATCATTCGGTTAAGATAGCATAAGTACACCTACCAGGCACAACCGGCCAGAAACGCCATCGCAGCTACTGAAACCTGTTTGTTAGGCTTCCAGGCAAACCAATCGGCAAGAACAGACTACACATATATGGTCAAAATTTCTGTTGAACTTGCCGGTCAAGTCGTTCTTCGATAGCCACAGATGCTCCAAAGCCCCCAGCTGACCCAGCTCGCGTGGAATCTCGCCTGCAAATATGTCGTAACATGACCAATCAGATTCATTCCGCTTCCATGACAATGTTTCACAGACTGCTTTCCATTGCGGGCAGTTTTCTGCCGTGGGGTCGGCGTTACAGCAGTGGGCCTGCGTGAGCCACAACCTCTTCATTCGGCCGTGTCCACGACACCTTTGTTTTGGAAAACACCAGACGTTGCTCCAAAGAGCATATATATTGACACGCTTCGAGGCAGTGCTAACGAGGCGTAGTCATCCGGCAATGGTGCTAGAGAATCAACGCTTCACAGGCCTTCTCACCAGAGAGTTTGTTGTTCTTCAGGTACAGCAGCCTAAGAGAGCTGAGTCGACCAAGCTCTGGCGGGATTTTCCCTTCGAAGAGAAGCGGAATCGTGCGTAACGCCATAGGGGGGCAATAGCGCTCGCTCGTATCGGCATTGAAATGTATACGAGGAAAACGAGATCAGGCATGCCATGCGGCAAAGCATTGAGAAGGTTGAGCGCAACACTCAGGCACCATCTGGGACACGCGAGCATAGGCTCATACGAGTCACAGGGATTTTCAGCATATAGTGGACGGCCAAACAAGGCATGTAGCGTTATCATCAACTAGGTCACCAGCAAGCTGATGCATGACACCATCAGTAGACAGGGGTTACATAGCATAGGCGGAGGTTGAACTACGACAGTAAAGGTTCCGATACTGGAAAATAGTTGAAATTCGAAATCTGAAATGAATTGCAGAGTGAAATGAATGCTACATTTTGGTAATGAAAGCAAGCATGTATTAGAATTGTTCACGACAAGTGCAGCCCTCCTTACCGGTAAGCTTATTGTCCGACATGACAAGTCGTGTTAGAGACCCCAGCTGGCCGAGCTCAGGTGGAATCGGACCTGCTTACAGTCCAAGTTGAGGGCCGCGCAAAGAGGCATCGGTGAGTGAGTGAACAATATACTCGAGACCACATGTACAACCTTTCGCGAATCCCTCGGGCCGACTCTATCGAGAACACTGTGTCGTTCATCCTGTGACCACCGCTATTTTCCAGCATGAGAAAGGCCAATGACACGAACGAGCATCAAACACCAATATTAAACGCCTGATAATGTAAAAAAACATTGGAAGAAGTATACTGTTGAGCAGCAATTTCATCAAATTGTATTTTCATCTCAGGACGGCCGATGGGCGATTCTTCGCGCCTCGGGCATTCGGCGTAGTAGAATATTTATTGCGGCGTTGTTGCAATGACGCTGGCCTAGCGTTGTGAACTCCTCCGCTAGGACCGTGCGATCATCAACCCGTAGTCAAAACTACCTACCGGGCAGGTGAAGTATGTCGAGCAATAACCTCAAAGGAGCCATATGTCGACTGGAAATGGTTCTGAAACCCCTGTGAGAGCGCTGTAATAGACAAGAAAAGTGAACAATACTTGGAATCGCGCCCGCTTGATTTTCTTTCGTCGACTTCACAACTATAATAGTTCACTCCCTGTGTAAGCCACAGTTTGGTGAAGAACGACCATTACTTTATAGTTTGCAAAGCTCAACTGACAAATTCAATAACAATGGGCTGTAACCATGGCAGCTCACCCTTCTGGGTGACCTTGACTGATCCCCCAACACGAACGCAGACACCAGGAGAAAGAGGTACCGCCAACCAAACAACCTCACAGCACGTCCTTGGTTCACAAGCTTGCTAGAGAGCTCGCGGGTGCGGTTAGTTCCGGTGTTCGGCGACGCAGTATACGGTCTTCGATATTGATCACACAGCAAGTTGTGCGGATGCACCCTGCTTGGCGTACTGGTAGTGGCCTGCCACGGCGCGACCAGGGAACTGTTTTCACAACATTGTGGAGCCTCAACAGGTAGGTATGTAACTAAATGCTGCCAGCGATATTTGTGAGGATTCTACTCTGATGAATCACTTCGTACCCGACGTATTATAGCGCCTTCAACTCTTGCGGGGGGACTACAAACTTCAAGACGTCGCAACCTCACCATGACTACGACTAGCAGACTTTCCAATGCCAGTCTTCCAAAGGGTCTGTGCTGGTTTCCCCATTTGCAGAACGAATCCAATAGCTATGTTTGAGAGCGTGGGCTATACTTAGCACGTGTGGCTTGGAATATGTAAGAATCTTCACGTGCAGGAGTCGGGTTTCCCACACTTTCGGCGGTCTTGCTAGACCGCCCATGGGGCATCCATGGGCCCCATGGGCTGCACATGGGCACACGTTGTGCCCGTGGGCTGCCCATAGACAGCCCACGGGCTGCACATGTGCACTTGGTGCCCACGGGCGGCCCATCTGATTGCCCATGGGCAAGCCCATGGGCATGGTGGACACTTCGCGGGCGGTTCATGGACCGCGCATGAGTTCCGCTCAACCGGAACCAGTGTACTCGTAACAATAGATAATGTGGTTTGGAAGGGGCATAATAACGGTTGAAAACTCTGACACAAAACCTAGCCCTAACCCCAAGCCCACACGATAAGTGCTAGGTTGGCGTGATGGCTATGTTCTCGGATGTGCCCACGGTGGGCACTGTGCCGGTGGCGAAGTTCTAGGTTGAAGTGCTCACGGTGGGCACTTTTTGGGCAGCTCATGGGCAGCTCACGGGCTGCCCATAGGTGGTTTCGCAAGACTACCAGCACCGTGGGAGTGAGGAGTCGGCACAAAGAAATTGCCAACGCTCACTCACCAGAGTGTGATTGCAGTGCGGCAGAGGTCCAAATCGGCCAGACAAGAGATAGACGGCGCACAATACGCCGTACCCATCATTACAACCGGTACAGCGTAGGACCATTTAAAGGTAGTAAAAATATTAGAGGAACGAGAGAAGATGATACAAACCAAGAGCTTGCATGGTCTTACCGCTCAACTGGTTGCTCGTCAGAAGCAGAAGCTCCAAGCCGCTGAGTTGACCCAGCTCCGGCGGGACTGAACCTGTAAACCGCGGGAAACAAGCATTCGAATAAGTGTTCGCCTGTACGCAGTATATATTTTTTCCATTGTCGCCATGGTGTTTCGACTAGTACTTCGCCCCGCATGCTGCCTTGCTCTCCAGAGTGACGTGGAGCATGCGTAGCGTGGCAGAGGAAACGTCGACGCGGTGCAACTCCTTAACGACAACCAACTTGAGAAACCCATGCAGGGGTTCAAACGCCCGTGAAGCAACGAAAGAATAAGGAGGTGCAAGGCTTCGTTAGCGCATTGTGCATGTCGCGGGAAGTGAAATATACAGCGCGTACACCCATGCATCTAAAAAAATGTGTGTGACACGAAACCGCAAGAATGTGTACCCGGAACAGCCGTTCGATTCTGTCATGCCATTTGCAGTGTGCGGTGGCAAACAGGCCCACAGAAAGCCCCCGCCACTTGAGGATCAAACACAATACTATAGCCATAGTTGACATGCCGTCGTTGCTACAGCCTTTACCAGAGAGATGGTTGTACTTGAGGTGCAGCCCCTTGAGTTTGCTAAGCAGGCCAAGCTCCGGTGGGATACGCCCTGCGAACATGGGTAAGCAGAGAGCATCCGGCCAAACGAACAGAAGAGCGTTCCAACGAGTTGACACCGTGTAGTAGCGCCACGATAGGCAAAGCTTCGTGCGCGTATGTGTTTAGACAGAATGGCTGCAGGGGGCGCATTCCTCGCGACATGATCACAGGCAACTCTGGTTGTCATCAATTACCCCAACCACAAGCCGACGTCGTTGCTAGTCTTTGCATCACTGCCACGGCAACGACGAGTTCTGAGTCCATTCCCTGTTGGGAATGCTGTACAGCTACCAAGCGCCGCGCAGGTCGGCGAAAAACACTGGCGGCTTTTGACGGCTATCGTCGTCTTCGTGGTTAGCATACCCGACCAGCAAACTTAGGCCATGGATTTCTGGTTGGAGAAACTGCCCCTTGTCCGTCCCCCTCACAGGGCAAGCTCCGACATTTGGGGAGGACCTATAGCGGTTGAGAAGATTATTCCAAAAACTCGACCACCTTTGAATGGGAAGGTTTTAGGCCTCGACAACGTGGAACAAAGTGTGCTATGTTCATAGTGACGAGTTATTGCGGTACAGAACGGGAGAAGGTTGTTTAGCTCACCGCTCAGCCTGTTTGACGGCAAAAACAGTTCCTCCAACGCCCCCAGCTGACCAAGTTCTGGTGGAATTGCGCCTGCTTACAATCAAACACGAGGGCCCGCGAGAAGTGAGGATTGAGGGGTCTTTCATCTGAACGCGATGGTACCCGGTTGTGCAACTGCATCATGACAGCTAACATCCAGATTGGGGGTACAGGCTGAACATTAGAAAACACCGCGCTCTGTGCCACAGCTCGGAAAACCCTAGCGACTTGGTCTTATTGAGGATGGGAATAGTTTTGCGCGCAAGAAACCAATGAGCACGTAAAATATAAGGTGTCATGGTGTGCCTCCGTCGACTCTACTTGGTGAACGACCGCAAAACTGGTGCCAAGACGTCAGAAAGGACAGGCAAGCTGGAAATATCTATTGACACGACTGGCGAAGACAACATCACCCCATATTGGATCAACAGAGTGTCGCACTAGCGCATGGCAGACAATCCTAGTTTACCGATATTCATCTAAGTAAATGGGAAAGTGGATGGCATGGGCTCTACCCATTTTGGCCAAGGCACTTAAGGCCTTGACATTCATGAGGGTGAATTCATGCCCGGGTGGGGGGGTTGAACAGCTGTTGCCCTCAAGACACTTGAAAATGCTTCGAATTTCTACCGTCAGTAGTGGGGCAGGCGGAGATGATGGGAACAAGGTTGGACTGGCTTTCAAGCCTGTAAACAATTAATAGCACCATGCTGAAAGTCAGCGGCGGGCTTGGTCTGCCAGTGCAATTGCTACAGAGCGACCAGCTACGGGGGTAGTTCCCTCACTACCCGCGTCGACCGCATTGTGTACCATGGTTAAACTGATTCCTGGGGGGCTACCCTCTCGTTACCGCAGAAGCTGCCTACGGTTCAAGATAGCGGGAAAGTGATGAGTACAGTAGCCCTGAACTAAATTGCCACATACGTAGAGAGACGTCAACACGTAGAAAGGCGTCAATACAAATCCTTAACCTTTTCAAGCAACGGGCATGAAGGCTTACACCCACAACCGACCTCCATGCGAAAAAACTGCTGCCATACTCAAATACCGATCCGATGAGGAATGGACAACAGCTAGGTTCGGGAGCTTGAAAGGACCGACGGCGTGCTACATCGGCCTTACCGGTGAGCTGGTTACCACCCAGGTGCAGCGTCGTTAGAGCACCGAGACGACCAAACTCCGGAGGAATAGCACCTGTAACAGAACACAAGCAGCAGCGGGAATCAAGCAAGCTGTTTTGCTCGTGCGGGAAACGAAGGGCACAATAGACACAGGAAGGGGGAAAACTGCATGCACCAAATCCAAGAGTTTGGTGGCTATTTTGCCTCGTGGAAATCTCCTTTGGAGCCCTTCCGGCCGGCTTCCGACAACGACAAACCACCGCGGCATGGACGCCCGCACATCTGGAAATACCGGAAAGTTCTAGCTCAGCACTCAAGGCATCGGTCTACAGCGCATCGACTGCCTCAGTTTTAGCTCAGATGTCCGTCAAGAAACAATAATGCACACTTTCCCCTATCTACAGAGATACCACGGGAAAGCAGCTGCCAAGGCCCGAAAATAAATATCGCCATGTTTGTGGCAACACGGGTTCAACACCATCGTGTACTGTGTTTTTTCTGAAACCCCCGAAGTTCGCACACCACTTGAAGTTGCGCTATCTCAATACCCCCTTCAGATGACCAGGGAGGGTTGCGAATCTCTCATAGTCATTCAGTCCGTGGATCACACACCAGATCGCAACACCAGTGCTAAGCCGAAAAAGCGAAGTATGCTGCCTCCCAACGTGGGTTCTTCAATCTCACGCTCAAACATGCACCCCGTGTGCACGTCGCTCCGTGATTGCCAGGCGGTCGACTCCGCCCGATAAACTGTTGGTGTAGTCAACGGTCGGGAACTGTGCAATCCAAGCTTGTCGTAGAGTTAAAAGCAGACGTGTTTCGCAATTGACTGATATGCTTACGGTTTTTGGTTCGGCAAACACGAGGAACATTCCGAGCGAACAGATCATGGTGACGGCGCTGCCCAAAAGTAGGATTGAAGCATCTTCAGGTCTCACCGATAATGCTGTTGCCTTTTTCAAAGCCACCCGGCTGAGGTTCAGGTCCCCCTTGCAGCTCCAACTTCACCACTCGACCCTCTGCGTTCGTAGTGACCCCGTGCCAGCTGCCGAGGTCGTCCGCATTCTCCGCCCAGCCATCTTTACATGTCCACGACTCTCCGCCGGCGGTCCGATAAAAGTGAAGGAGCGTCTCTCGATCCGTCTGCGCCGAGCCTGCTCGAGGACAACCGACACGATTGAGATCAACATGTGCAACATAGCACAAACCTATCACGCACAGCAGGCACAGTGCCCCCGGGGTCAAAAACTTCCAGGGCAGTTGCCGCAAGGCGAGTGGAGCAGGTGATAACCCCTTCCGGGGCAAACAAGAATCAACGGTAGTCTCAACAGCTGATTAGCATGATTGCGAGGCATGTGTTTACGCAAAAGGAGTAGGCAACAAGATAAAAAAACACGTGTTTGCACCGTACCTAAGAAGGACCTCACCTGTTGCGCTTGCCGGACCTCGGGCGGCCCTCGCGTCTGTAGGTGACGGCATTGCTCCTGCCGACTGTACGCTCGAACTGCTCATGGCTCCGTTGCGATATGTAAGTCTTCCGACGGAAGCAGGCAGTTTCGCAACCAAAACGTGTAAGATTTCTGCGAGCACACTATGTATGTATCTAGTCGGATGATTCTCAGCTCGTTGACAAAAATGTTGAACCTACATGTAATAGCTGGAACTCGATTGGCGTTGTAGGAAAGTGTTTCTGGGTGGCTCCGTAGCTTACCAAAATTGGGCTGATGTTGCGCGAAGGAAGAAAGCCAAAAATGTAAACTGGCCCTGCTCTACATAGCTAGCTTAATCCCACCTGATAACTGGGCTGTTGTCGTGCAGGTTGCACGAAAGAAACGTTCTCTATTATTGCGCCGTTTGTCGTCACAACAACTCTAGAATAATGGGTTATGAAAACATATCCGAAGAAGGGCCAACTCTTCAGGGACGCAGGGGCGTTTTGAAACCCTCTGTGAAACCAGTCCAAACAACAAGACTCTGTCGTAGACGTTGTACGCCCGCTGTGCAACTAAATAACGAAATTTGCCATCGCTTATTTGTCGCACAACTACTGGGCGAGTTCTGATGCGTGTAATAGTCTTACAGAACGGGCCCGGAATTAAGAAAAATTCTACGAAAAGAAATCTCAAAGGTTTACGAGAAATAAGAAAAAAGGGCTAAGAAACTCAGCTAATTAACGTCCCAACAAGAAACAAACATGATCGCGGGATACCCCGAGACACAAGAAACAACGGATAACTGAGGAAGCGTGTCCAATAAGAATCGTCCCACGGCTGCTGCCAGCTCCCACCACTACCTACGCTAGCTCATCCTGTAACTTTTTGATAGGGGGAGAGTGGTTATTTTCGCGTCGCCCCCCGGGCCCCCGCGCCGCCGCGGGCTGCGCTACCCACTGCTGCTGTACTGCTGTGCTGCCACAAATCCCTGGAGTCAGGAAGTTCAGGAGGGCGACAACCCCAACCAATGCTCGCCACCACCGACCTGTCGATTTATAATGCTGCATGAAGAGGGCTTGGTGTGTCGTTGGTTTCTTCGCCAGAAAAAGAAAATTAGCAAAATGAGAGCAGCAGGATGACGCGACAGCCCAAAGGAATTAAGGAACCCTTTTTAAAATATTGGCCGTCTTCGGCTGTCCTTCGGGCGAAAATAAGAAATTGAGGCTCGACCCGAACTTGACGTTTCTTATCTCCGGGCCCGTTCTGTACCTTTGTTGCTTTAGATAGGAAAATGACGACCAAGAGCCTACGGACTAGTCTATGTATGGTGCATGCAGGAAGATCGTGGTTGGTTGTTGTTTTGTTGTTTTCAACGAACCCTAGAACCATTTTGAGGTCTATTCGGTGCCTGTACTTCAATACACCGCTTAGGTGGGTGGGGTGATATCTGGGACGGACAGTCTTCTCAAAATAATTTGACCAACGGAGCAGCATGTGTGTCTTTCTTACTAGCATCGACCGCTTTGAAGCTGACCAATGACAAGACGTCAGTCTTAGTGCGGTTGAAAACACAAAACACTTTAAAGTGCCATAAACTGGGGCCCCGTGAGGGCCCCGTGAGGGGGCAGCATGGGGGAGGCTAACCTAATTCAATGTGTGTGTGTTTTTATAAGTTTTTTTTGGCGAGAAGAGTGGCCCGGTAGGGGCGCTTTTTGTTTTGCAAAAAAAAGCTGATGTACAGGGATCGTGATGTGCATTTACTGTATGTATGTGCGAAAAATCAGAACAATTTGCCTGGGGGGGGCATGAAAATTACACGATGGACGTCCGTCCGTGACAAGCTCGCTGCTCGATAAATACCCCAGCAGACTGGAGCCCATTTCACTATCTAGGCACCAAATTGCAATCTAAGACTTGCGCACAACACGTAATAAAAACACAACACGTAATATTTTGCCCGAGCTGTCCCAACTGCTACCTTTTCATTCCGTGGTCGGTGCGTCGAGATAGCACAGCACCTGTGCAGAATATACATGTCGCATTCACCCGTCCCCGACTTGGAGGAGGAGGCTTGTTTTGGACCAGCCGTACGTAGGCATCGATTGGTTCACACAAAAGACAGCACCAGAATCACCCGGAGCCAGACATGGTCAAGGACCGGGGAGGAGGGAGACACACACCACAGCGAGATTTTGGGCGAGAGCGAGGCCGGATCAGGACGTGTCCTATACTGCTGTTAGTTATCGGCACAGAGGAGCGAGAGGAGAGATGCATACACGTTTGGTTGTTGTTGTTGGAATCTCGGCTGTTTTGTTGCAGGTAGCGGGCTGTGGGACGTAGGCTGACACGCAAGACACAACGGAGCCATATGGAAAAAGGGGGAGGGAGACACGCACCACAGCGAGGGCGAGACGGCAGGAGGAGGAGCAGGGTGTGACCTATACCACACTGCTGCTGTTAGCTATCTATCGGCGGAGGAAGCGAGAGGAGAGATGCGCGTTTGGTTGTGGGTCCCTCTCTCTCGGTCGGTCGCCGCCTCTTGTGTTTTTTTTGCAGCGGGCGGCGGCACTTGGCGGCAGGCAGCGCCAGGCGAAATTGTTCGTGTTCCAAATTTGAGCAATGAGCTTTTTTTTATGCACGGTGCGCCTCTGAACACAAAGGTCGCCACGCCCATCAACTTAGAGTTTGTCCCACACTAGCGCCCTCGCCAGGTCACGGTACAATCCAGCACTACATGGCGACGTTTGTCCACAAATAGATCTCGATGATGCCATATGTGCAGATGCTTGTCTCGCTACACAACAACGTTTTCGGATCACTTCCTTCTTGCGGCCCGCCTTTTGGAGCTTTCTACGCATACATATGTGGGCCGCGTTTCCGTGCGGAGTGTGACTGCATGCTGCTGCTGTGTGGTAACAATTATGGAGCCAATGGTAACAACGCACGAGCCTACTGCAGGTACTGTTTCTTCAACCCAAAAAACTATTACCTCGCCCCCGTATTATTAGCACGACGGACCGCGCTAAACGGCTGACCAATGAAAAGACGTCAGTCGTAGTGCGGTTGAAAACAACAAAACACTTCCAAATGCCATTAACTGGGACCCCGTCAGGGGGCGGTATGGGGAGATTAATATTTTCTCCGGACCAAAGACAGAAACGGTAGCAACAGAAGAACCCGTGTGTGTCCACCCAGATCATGTTCAGGCTGAAATACCCTAAATGTTGATGGGAAGTTTGATACAGAGGGAGGGGATACGTTTTGTGGAACCACATACATACATACGCCGGTCGCCCCGGTGGTTACGTTGGTAACCTCGAAACCTTCTAGAGGTCAGGTCAGGGGTTTGAATCCCAGCATAAGCGAGCTTTTCTTGCTAACTGAGTTTTTCTCTCGCTTCTGCTTCTGGCCTAGTGGATAGCGCTAGTTCGTGTGTACACAGAGGGAAGAGAGTGCTGACCTCTTCTCGCATTAAAAATCGAAGGCAAAGTACCGCAGGAGGGGGCGGTAGAAAGGGGCTCTTCTGTGTGACCACGGGTTGGAGTAAACGGCACTACACTAGTGCTGTAAGCGCTGATTTGAAGTGGAAGACAAAAAAAAAAAAAAACGCCAATGCTCGCCGGCCGCAACCCCATTGTAACACCCGACCACCGCTCCTCTTGCATGTGCGCGTGACACGTGTATGTATGTATGTACATCTATCTGTAGTGACACGTACTCCATGTTGTGCCTTACGGGCGGGCTGGTGGTGGTACGCACGCCCCATCAAGGTACAATGTGTACTTCAAAACACCCCTTCGACTTGGGTGGGGTTTGCGCATTATTATCTCGAACGGAACGGATAGTCTTCAGCACAACAACTTTGACCAACGGATCATCATGTGTGTGTCCGCCGGGGATCATGCTTTGCTGAGTCGGGAAGCAATAAGTTTGATAGAGGGAGAAAGGGAATACGTTCCGTCGACCCCATGTTAACGGCCCCACGCGGCCACCTCTCCTGCATGTGCTACATGTAGTACTTTACCGCATGTTATGCGTTACGGGCGGCTGGCGGTGGGTACGCACGCCCTACCAAGGTACGCACCCGCCCGACTTTGTTCTTGGTCCTTGGTGAAGTGCTCATCAGGACTACTATTATTGGAAAACACAAGCTCTGCCGTGCTCTCGTGGCCAACTGTGTGTTTGGCATGGACGTTCGCAAACTACAGCAGTATGTGCCGAAGCCAAAGCGGTCGACATTCAGAAGTACCTAGACAGCAGTAGCTCATGCGCATAGCAGCCAGAATTCAATCAACCTCTTCCTCCCACGCGAGGACATGATTGCCATAGTCCATCACATGGATGGTGTGTTGACATGTGGAGATGCGTGGAGAACATCTTATTCACAGCTTACCTTGCTGACATACCGAAGGAGGTTTGGTGGATATGTGGCTTCTCCTCACTCGCCCCGCCGAAGAAGTCGTAGACAGCGTGTGCCGGAAGAGAAGGAGCAATTGATCCAAGGGACCCCAAGAGAAAAAAGAAGGAAAAAAAAGCGTTGTGCCGGTGCGGCCACCGAGGTTCCCGCGGGGAGGTTGGGGCACAAAATATGGAAGATATGTATGTACACAAATTTAAAATTAGGCGGTTTCGTAAGTTCTCCATCACGGACCTCCCGGTCGCGTTTGGGTTGTGGGTTGTGACCACCACAGAGACCCACATAGGCATTCGCCTGAAGGGTGAGCACTCCATGTGGCAGAGTGTGGTGTATGACCCGCTCGCCTGTGAGGCTTGCACGTGTGATCTAATGCTTTGCTGAGTCGGGAAGGTGTGATACAGGGAGCGGAATACGTTCCGTCGAATAACACGCCAATGCCCGCCGGCCTCGCGACCCCATGCTAACGCCCCACCCGGCCACCGCACTTGCTGTGCACATGCACATGCATGTAGTAACACGTGGCACATGTTATGCCTCACGGACGGGCTGGTGGTGGTACGCACACCCCACCAAGGTACGCACCTGCCTGACTGACTGTAAAGTGGTACATACATCAACACACGAACACTCTTTGCCTGTGACTTGCTCTCAGAATTTCCGAA